ACCATATCAATGCATGGTAGAGTCTACTAAAGTTACAAAGGGGTGGAGTGGTTAAGAGGCTAACAAGAAAGTTTCAGCACAGGGTCAATATTTGAGCATGAGAACATTTTCATGAATATGAACCCTGATTTAAGTTTCATAAAATTCAAAGGAATTAAATTTCAGCAAGCTGCTAGTAAAATAACATACATCTGGGCCTTCAGTTCTTCAGAAGATGTTGTTTGAGTGTTTTAACAAGTTATGATGACCTTAGGTCACGGTCGTTTCATTTCAACCTTTGTAGCACGCAATGGCAGTAACCATCTGGCCGACTTTGACTAGTCGATAAGGTTTTTCAGGAGAGTAACAAAATGTTTTAATAAAATTGCCCCTCTATTACTTGGAATACAGGACAGTCATTTCTTTTCCCAAATTTTATAGAATACAATCATACCAAATTAAAATTATTTAAATATCATGATTCTAGGCCTTCCTATTCTTCAGAAGAAGACATTTGAAATATTGCACAATATACATTAAAGGTTTATTGCCTTGGCCTTGTTTATTGACAGATATTATTTACCTTAAAAACCTTTGTAGTGCTAAGGGTGCTACAAATATCAAAACCATCAGACTGCTGGATTGTAGACGGGTTTTTTCAGGTGCCCCATATTTGAAATCCTGGCCTTGAGAAGGTGCCATCCTCTTGCCTTTGGCAAATCTAACTCTACATCACATAAATGTACTTTGTACCAAATTTTGTAAGAATTAGTCCCGTTCTTTAGATGTTATTTATTGACAATGGACAGTAAATGATGGCAGACCCTTATTTTTTTAACAGAATTTACCAGTGATATGACAATGCTTGGTAATATGCCGGTCCCCTTGTAAAACAGCTTGTACCAGTCATAATGCAATGCCTGGTAACATTAATAATAATGGTTATAAACCCAAGTCTTTGTAATGTCAGACTTCACTAGTTATAATAAAACAATGCTTGGTAATAATAAGCCCCTTCCCTTAAAATACAGACTTTACCAGTTATAAGACAATGCTTGGTAAAGTGCCCATCGTTTTGTAATATAGACCTAACCAATTACAAAACAAGGCTTGGTAAAGTGCCCATCGTTTTGTAACACAGACCTAACCAATTATAAAACAATGCTTTGAAAAGAGCCCATCCCCTTGTAATACAGACTTCACCAGTTATAAGGCAAAGGTAATAGTAACATTAATACGAATGGTAATAAGTCCATCCCCTTGTAATAGACTTGTAACAGATATAAGACAAATACTTAGTAATAATTAAAACCCACCTCCATGTAAAACATATTATACAAAAATTAAGCTCACGTTCAATTATAAGCCCCCTCTCGTATAAATCATTTATTACCACTTATAGCCAATAATTAGACCAGGCTCAGTGAAGGGATTGTTAACCCTTTCACCCCTATGTAGTTTTAACAAACTCTTTCATGCATTAATCTGGATAAGTTCATTAAAATTTACAGTGGTGAAAGGGTCAACAATGAATGTCATATATGCAAATAACATCTCTCTATAATACAGGAACGAACTGACCAGCAGCCAAGTGCTACCTTAAATCTTCACACTGTTAACCCATTCACCCCTAAATTCACATTTGAACCATACCAAATCAAAAACTGGGCAAATGAGTTAAGGAAGTATATATGTGTGCATGTTATTATCAAAATATGGGAGTCTAATTAAGCGCCCCCCACAATGGTCAGGAAGTCTATGGGCATCATGTATAATACAATTTAATGTGGGAGTCCATGGCAGCACTAACCCCACCTTACAGATACCATCGTATTTTGTGTGATATGTCATGCTCACTAATAAGCCCACCCCATTATAGATAGATAAAAGTTGAGGTTGCATATAGCTCATTATAAACCAGTATTTCAGTAATAAAGACCATTCCTTGGTAACAGATCAAAATGAGGCTGACAAATATCGCGATATTTACCAGTATTTCAGCAATAAGCCCACGCATCCTGATATCACCGTAACAGAGATGAAAATGATATATACATGTATTAGTATTTCAGCAATATCAAAATGAGGCTGACAAATATCTGGATGTAAACCAGTGTTTCAGTAATACCAAAATGAGGCTGACAGATATCTGGATGTAAACCAGTGTTTCAGAAACCAACCAACTCCCGTGTCTGACAGTGTGTCAGACCCATGTCACGGCTGTTAGGTTTGTTTGTGTTTTCAAGACAATTGAGCAAAGTATAACACAATCAGGAGAGAATAATTGTAAAAATAGGTTAGCCAGGCGGTGCCCAGACCATTCAAAACCTCATAAACTAAATAAATAAGGAGAGACTGCAGGTTCAATAATTTTTCATCTTTGTCTAAGGAGTAATGCACCTTACACTTAACTGTATACACAGTATTACATTTAGTCAAGAGTCCAAACACAATTGTTACACTTTTAAAATACTACCTGCTTCCTATTGACTCAGCTAAGGAGAATTTATCTTTAGATTATTTGGTAGAGCTTAAGAGTTATAAAGCAGAGGTCCCGGATTTCACTCCTTAGTGGAGGCATTGAAAAATAATGCAATATTAATACAAGAATATAATTATGTTATTTATTAATTATGGACTTTTGTCGAGGTCAATACATTGTTATATGTTATAGAGACCTGATGGAGTGATATTGACCAGGAAAGCGGTCTGAAATCAATATCATTCTATCAGGTCTATATAACAACATATTGACCTCCACAAAAGTCCTTAATCTTTAAACTACATATCATGTCATTTGGTAACATACAATACACACAATACAGGTTGTATCACAGGGATTGTGATTCATAGCAGAAAATGAACTTTTTCGAGATTCACAAAATTATGAAACATCAGATACTCATTTTTTCTTGTCATTAGTCATTTTTGGATACTCACATTAACAGTGAGCAACATATCCGGGTCTAAACTTAAATAATAATACATTAATTGGACATGATTGATTGTCAAATACATGTATTTAGATTGTCTCCCTTACATGTAATTGCTGGGGTTTATTGAATGGTAAAAAGCAACACTTTGGTCCAATAAGAAGCAAAAGAGCAAGCCTTTGGTCCAATCAGAGACGAGGATTTCAGAGAGCCATAATAAAACCTATCATATTATCTGTTCTAATGATTACACTTTATATAAGATTTCATATAGCCCAGACATTTATGTTCTGAGACAGACAAGGAAAAACAGTATTATTCTTCTTTTTTTAAGAATTAATACTGCTGTAAATCTTCTACCATAGTGTAATCACACAGGTTTAAATTTGATTCCATAATATTGCCATATCAACATGGGGTACCTCCTATCAAATTTGGTTGTAATTGACCAAGTAGTTCTAGAGAAGATGTTGTTCTAAGAAACAAGTAGTTCTTGAGAAGAAGTTTTTCTAAGAAAAAGTTTACACAAAGAAGACATGACACCTGATTTGTTAAATTGCTAAGTGCACAGAAACCTTTAACTCCATTAAATAATTAGGGTTTACAAAGATATGTTTTTCCAACAAAACACTATATTCCATATATGGTTTAACAATGACATGCCATTTTTAAATTAGGCCTAAAAACTAATGTGTGTTTCAGGTACCATGCGTTAAAAAAACATAAGGTAGGTCGGCAAACAATTTTGCTTTAATCTGATGGTTTTTTTTTTATCTTCTAGATCAATATTATGCTTTACATCAAATTTTACAATGCATTTCCACAATGGCTGTTTATTTGTCAAAAATAATTAGGGCTCCCTGAAAAGTAAGAAATACATTTTAATGAGTAGCTGTGAACTTTGCCTTGCTAATAAATTAATCTGAAATACAGAAAGATTATCTCGAGGGTTGTAAGCATTAAATCTTGGGAAGATCAGGATACCTGAATCACATACATGTTTTTTTTGGCCTTATTGGTTTCCACAAATGAAATCAATGAATTAAAACATTTGCTGATCATGATTTCAGTGCAAAAATCATAATCATGAGGTTATCAATAAATATTCATATTTGGTAGCCATCTTTAAGTCTATAATAGCCATAATAGTGTATTTCAAATTATATTGATGTGGATACAGAGGTAGCTATGCCTTCATCAACTAATATCCTATTAGATAAATTACACAAGGTCCTTTATATTTACATATTTTATATCTGCAGTATCTATCAACTGTAATACTAATTTTACCAGAGTAACGAGTAACATTGTTTCTAAGGAGCAGCTTATGATCATATACAGAAAGAAGGTCCATGAGAAATTACGATAAATGGTCGCGACCCAGGACTGGTTTTGGATTGTTCCCATGTATGGTGCACACCCCTTTCTTCAGATTACCTTTTTTTCCAAAGAAAGGGTGCACTATACTCTAATTTTTATTGTACTCTAATTTGTATTGTACTCTAATTTTGGCTTTTCCCCCAATGTTGGACTTTTTTCAGGTTATATTGTATAACCTAACCGATATAGACAACACAAATCTTGATAATGCTGTATACCACAAGGTTTCACATGCTATTATATTTGTTAATCTTATTTTGATTTTATGGGTGGATTGGTCAGGTGGATAACACTCCGGCCTTCCACACAGGCGGCCGGGGCTCGATCCCCAAAGTCTTCCTGCCCACATAACTACTTCAACCCAGGTGGAGTATAAATTGGTCTGGGGTGGATGTTTTGGTATCTGTGCTGTAGCATTTAAGTGAGGTGGCACTATAAATGGTGCCGTTGGAAGCAGGGTCCCACTACAAACAGAACACATTTCATCTCTAACACACACAGAGGCAAACACACATAGGGATATATTAGCCAGGTGGCATAGGACTAGTAGTTAGCGCCTGATAAGGCAGGTCCTGTGAATTCCTCAAAATTGCATTTACTAATGTATATGCTAATTGTATTAATTGTATATCTATTAACTATAAAGTGCTTTAGAGTGGCTTATATTTGCTAGATAGGGCACTATATCAAATGCTATATATTATTATTTTTATTAATATCAGAAATTAATAAATATTCATCTGTGACCATAACCATAATTATATTTTGGGTTCAACAGTAAATACTGAAAGAAACTCTGCACTTTTATGCATATACCGCTTTGCAGATCTATGCAAAGCACACACAGTTTTGCCGTTACCGGTACATTTTGTATAACCCTCAAAATAATCCTGGTTATTCCTTAAATACATTTGAAAATCAATTCTCATTAAGGAAAAAATATTTCGCCATATTACAGGTCATCACAATCTATTAATTACAAAACAGGTCACCACAATCTATTAATTAACAGAGTCACAAATTATACATGTATTCAACCTCCTTGATTGTACTTCCAAACTCCATATTTACAACATAATGTATCACATAAACATTGAAATATTCAACCCCATTTCATTGCAAAGAAGACACTTTATTGGTTTTCAACTTAATGAAAAATATATATAAAATAAAGAAATCTAATACAGTAGTTGATACATTTATGGAATGTTAACAGCTATGTCTGACAGTAAGCTGTTACTCTGATGTTCTCATGTTGTAAGTTGTGTTCCGATATAGAGAACATTTTTAGGTACATGTTCCGATATAGAGAACATTTGTAGGTACATGTTCCGATATAGAGAACATTTGTAGGTACGTGTTCCGATATAGAGAACTTTTTAGGTACATGTTCCGATATAGAGAACATTTGTAGGTACATGTTCCGATATAGAGAACATTTGTAGGTACGTGTTCCGATATAGAGAACATTTTTAGGTACATGTTCCGATATAGAGAACATTTTTAGGTACATGTTTCGATATAGAGAACATTTTTAGGTACATGTTCCGATATACAGAACATTTTTAGGTACATGTTCCGATATACAGAACATTTTTAGGTACATGTTCCAATCCTTGATAAAGAACACGTACCTGGCATGTTGCCATTTTTCTGAAGAGCATTTTCTAGATTCCCATCCTTAATAATTAATGATGCGGTTACCAGGTAAATGACATGGTTACCAGGTAAATGATGTGGTTACCAGGTAAATGACGTTGTTACCAGGTAAATGACATGGTTACCAGGTAAATGACGTGGTTACCAGGTTAATGACACGGTTACCAGGTAAATGACGTGGTTACCAGGTTAATGACACGGTTACCAGGTAAATGATGTGGTTACCAGGTAAATGACATGGTTACCAGGTAAATGATGCGGTTACCAGGTAAATGACATGGTTACCAGGTAAATGATGTGGTTACCAGGTAAATGACACGGTTACCAGGTTAATGACATGGTTACCAGGTAAATGACGTGGTTACCAGGTAAATGACACGGTTACCAGGTAAATGACGTTGTTACCAGATGAATGACGTGGTTACCAGGTAAATGACGTGGTTACCAGGTAACTGACACGGTTACCAGGTAAATGACATGGTTACCAGGTAAATGATGTGGTTACCAGGTAAATGACGTTGTTACCAGGTAAATTACATGGTTACCAGGTAATTAACGTGGTTACCAAGTTAATGACACGGTTACCAGGTAAATGACGTTGTTACCAGATGAATGACGTGGTTACCAGGTAAATGATGTGGTTACCAGGTAAATGACATGGTTACCAGGTAAATAATGCGGTTACCAGGTAAATGAAGTGGTTACCAGGTAAATTATGTTGTTACCAGGTAAACTATGTTGTTACCAGGTAAATGATACAGTTACCAGGTAAATGACAAGGTTACCAGGTAAATTACATGGTTACCAGGTAAATGACGTGGATACCAGGTAAATGACATGGTTGCCAGGTAAATGGGTCTTAGTTCTTTCTCCATTTGCCTAATACGAATAATATTAGAATAGCTATGCATCTCAACATTCCTGAATAAGGCGCAAACAAATCAATAATGATCACAGATGAGTGGATAAGTAATAAACCCATTGCCTCTTATGTATTAAGTATTTACATGTTGCGATCCTGGTCATGGCACCAATTTGAACCTAAAGAACAACAAGGAGCCAGACTGGGGTCATAGTTCTAAGTAATCCTACTGATAAAACTCAGTCAAGATTGTTCAAAGCCTGTTTAGTTTAACAAAAACTTAACTACTTATCACTTTAGACCATAAAAGAGTCATCCAGATAAGGTAAAGTCTACCAAATTTACTTGGGTTGAAAGGTTTAAGCAAAATTTTCATCTTGTAGTTTTTCCAAACAAATCAAATTCATTCCTTAAATTTTATGTGTAGAAATTCAAAATATTCATTTGAAACAGAAAAACAAAGATATTTGTAGATATCAAGTTGAAAAGTAATTTTTTGAAAATTTATGTTCAGGCAATCTGTAATACACAGGCTGCAATCAATACTTGAGCAAGTCTACACCTCAAAAAAAATAACGACACAACAAAAAAGCATATATAGAGTCAATTCACATGTGGTGACTTCAATATCAGTCTAGATCTGTCATACGTTTATCACTGACAACAGTTACACAGACCTCTAAACAGTACTCCCAAGGTCAAGGTCACCATATTACTTACATTTTGTAACATTTCTACAGATCTGATAGTAGCAGAAAATCAAGAAACCCAAAAATCTCAACCCTCGGGGTAAGATTCTTAAATGTCTGGCTCTCAGCAAATCCTCGGGCTAGACATTTAGGAATCTTACCCCTTAAGTTGGGATTTTTCTGTCTTACCTCCAAGGTGGGGAAAGATAAATATAAATCCAAAGTTGGCAATGTATCAATGAAGTGTGGAAGCAAAACATTAAAATCATGATTGAATAGAATCTACATGGCACCCTTCTTAATCATCACAAGATGACATCGCAATGAAGCAATGGATACAAATTTATGTTAAAGACTTACCCCCCAAATTAACCCTTACTATACCATTAAATTCTAACACTTTCACCCAGACATTGGTGAAGTCACTCTCCCACTGTTTTACAAATTACTTTGGTTATGTGATCTATTTTCCCTATTTGTTCAAGGGTGAAATAACAGTGAGGATATCACTGGGTGTCAGAACACCGAACTACCTTTTCAATCGTTACAAAAACAAAATTGGTACGAAAATTTTCCCGTCTTACAGTATGATCAGCTGGTATCAAATCTATTGTATTGGACCTCATTTCATACTCACAGTAACCAATTAATGTATATCGAAATTTTCTTTAACATCTAGAAAGCTAACAAAGTTCAAGTTGACTGTATCTTAAGGGTTGGCTGTAATAGACTATGTGTTACATGTGTCAGTGTATGGTTAGTTTGTAAGTATGTGTCAGTGTATGGTTAGTTTGTAAGTATAAATTTCCATAGGCTTCAGTTCTATAGATGCAGCTTTGTCTATTTCTTCTTTCTCTCTGATCAAGGTCAATGTCGTCTCTGTGACCTTGTCTAAAGTAATCTGCTTGAAGAGCTTTCCCAGCACAACCTAGAATAAAAATATTTATACCAGTAATATAAATGGTAACAAAATATTAAAACAAAGTTTAGTAAAACCTCAATCTTGAACCCTTTAACATCATTTTAATTTCATAAAAAGGCATTTGTATTGAATAAAAGACCTACCTTTCCCCCATTTGAGTGACACAGTAGTCTCATGTTTAACCTACCTTTCCCCCATTTGAGTGACACAGTAGACTTTTATTAGACCTACCTTTCCCCCATTTGAGTGACACAGTAGACTTTTGTTAGACCTACCTTTCCCCCATTAGAGTGACACAGTAGACTTTTGTTAGACCTACCTTTCCCCCATTGGAGTGACACAGTAGACTTTTATTAGACCTCCCTTCCCCCATTTGAGTGACCCAGTAGACTTTTATTAGACCTACCTTTCCCCCATTTTAGTGACACAGGAGACTTTTATTAGACCTTTCATTCCCCAATTTGAGTGACACAGTAGTCTTTTATTAGACCTACCTTTCCCCCATTTTAGTGACACAATAGACTTTTATTAGACCTACCTTTCCCCCATTTTAGTGACACAGTAGACTTTTATTAGACCTTTCATTCCCCAATTTGAGTGATACAGTAGTCTTTTATTAGACTTACCTTTCCCCCATTTGAGTGACACAGTAGACTTTTATTAGACCTCCCTTTCCCCCATTTGAGTGACACAGTAGCCCTTTGTTGGGAAATTTGCAGTCATGTCCGAGGCTGTGTAGTAGAAGACCAGCCTCATTCCTGGGTTTGAACCTCACAGTTGGATCATCGTCCCTGTTCTGCAGGGTACGTAAGTTCAGGAGGTGAACCTCGCAAGGCAGGGGCTCGGCCAGCGGGCTGAAGGACGGCAGGTAGCGATGAGTCATTGCATCCGGGTTTTCCGGAGAGATGAAAATTGGATGGGTGAGGTGGAGGTAGGAAACATGTGCTTGGAGAGACGGGTAACCGATCATCTTATCCTTGGGCTGCACAACAGAAGGTAATAACAGATTCAGTACATCAAATTGTGTCCAAACATTTTCTTCAGGTTTGTAGGTATGATTTGTAGAAAGATTGAATGTATGTTTACTTTAGTGATCTGCAGTGGTCAGACCAAAATCTACAAGGTGTATGAGTGTTTATTTTTAGATATCTGCAGTGTTCAGACCAACAGTAAAACCTACAAGGTGTATGAGTGTTTATTTTTAGATATCTGCAGTGTTCAGACCAACAGTAAAATCTACAAGGTGTATGCGTGTTTATCTTTAGATATCTGCAGTGTTCAGACCAACAGTAAAAAGACCTACCTTTCCCCCATTAGAGTTACACAGTAGACTTTTATTAGACCTCCCTTTCCCCCATTAGAGTGACACAGTAGACTTTTGTTAGACCTACCTTTCCTCCATTAGAGTGACACAGTAGACTTTTGTTAGACCTACCTTTCCTCCATTAGAGTGACACAGTAGACTTTTGTTAGACCTACCTTTCCTCCATTAGAGTGACACAGTAGACTTTTGTTAGACCTACCTTTCCTCCATTAGAGTGACACAGTAGACTTTTGTTAGTCCTACCTTTCCCCCATTAGAGTGACACAATAGACTTTTATTAGAAATACCTTTCCCCCATTTGAGTGACAAAGTAGACTTTTATTAGACCTACCGTTCCCCCATTTGAGTGACACAGTAGTCCTTTGTTGGGAAATGTGCAGTCATGTCCGAGGCTGTGTGGTAGAAGACCAGCCTCATTCCTGGGTTTGAACCTCACAGTTGGATCATCGTCCCTGTTCTGCAGGGTACGTAAGTTCAGGAGGTGAACCTCGCAAGGCAGGGGCTCGGCCAGCGGGCTGAAGGACGGCAGGTAGCGATGAGTCATTGCATCCGGGTTTTCCGGAGAGATGAAAATTGGATGGGTGAGGTGGAGGTAGGAAACATGTGCTTGGAGAGACGGGTAACCGATCATCTTATCCTTGGGCTGCACAACAGAAGGTAATAACAGATTCAGTACATCAAATTGTGTCCAAACATTTTCTTCAGGTTTGTAGGTATGATTTGTAGAAAGATTGAATGTATGTTTACTTTAGTGATCTGCAGTGGTCAGACCAAAATCTACAAGGTGTATGAGTGTTTATTTTTAGATATCTGCAGTGTTCACACAGTAGACTTTTATTAGACCCACCTTTCCCCCATTTTAGTGACACCGTAGACTTTTATTAGACCTACCTTCCCCCATTTGAGTGACACAGTAGCCCTTTGTTGGGAAATTTGCAGTCATGTCCGAGGCTATGTAGTAGAAGGCCAGCCTCATTCCTGGGTTTGAACCTCACAGTTGGATCATCGTGGGTGTTCTGCAGGGTACGTAAGTTCAGGAGGTGAACCTCGCAAGGCAGGGGCTCGGCCAGCGGGCTGAAGGACGGCAGGTAGCGATGAGTCATTGCATCCGGGTTTTCCGGAGAGATGAAAATTGGATGGGTGAGGTGGAGGTAGGAAACATGTGCTTGGAGAGACGGGTAACCGATCATCTTATCCTTGGGCTGCACAACAGAAGGTAATAACAGATTCAGTACATCAAATTGTGTCCAAACATTTTCTTCAGGTTTGTAGGTATGATTTGTAGAAAGATTGAATGTATGTTTACTTTAGTGATCTGCAGTGGTCAGACCAACCCCCTTTTACTGACACAATAGACTTTTATTAGAAATACCTTTCCCCCATTTGAGTGACAAAGTAGACTTTTATTAGACCTACCGTTCCCCCATTTGAGTGACACAGTAGCCCTTTGTTGGGAAATTTGCAGTCATGTCCGAGGCTATGTAGTAGAAGGCCAGCCTCATTCCTGGGTTTGAACCTCACAGTTGGATCATCGTCCCTGTTCTGCAGGGTACGTAAGTTCAGGAGGTGAACCTCGCAAGGCAGGGGCTCGGCCAGCGGGCTGAAGGACGGCAGGTAGCGATGAGTCATTGCATCCGGGTTTTCCGGAGAGATGAAAATTGGATGGGTGAGGTGGAGGTAGGAAACATGTGCTTGGAGAGACGGGTAACCGATCATCTTATCCTTGGGCTGCACAACAGAAGGTAATAACAGATTCAGTACATCAAATTGTGTCCAAACATTTTCTTCAGGTTTGTAGGTATGATTTGTAGAAAGATTGAATGTATGTTTACTTTAGTGATCTGCAGTGGTCAGACCAAAATCTACAAGGTGTATGAGTGTTTATTTTTAGATATCTGCAGTGTTCACACAGTAGACTTTTATTAGACCTCCCTTTCCCCCATTTGAGTGACACAATAGACTTTTATTAGCCCTACCTTTCCCCCATTTGAGCGACACAGTAGACTTCTATTAGACCTACCTTTCCCCCATTTGAGTGACACAGTAGTCCTTTGTTGGGAAATTTGCAGTCATGTCCGAGGCTGTGTAGTAGAAGACCAGCCTCATTCCTGGGTTTGAACCTCACAGTTGGATCATCGTCCCTGTTCTGCAGGGTACGTAAGTTCAGGAGGTGAACCTCGCAAGGCAGGGGCTCGGCCAGCGGGCTGAAGGACGGCAGGTAGCGATGAGTCATTGCATCCGGGTTTTCCGGAGAGATGAAAATTGGATGTGTGAGGTGGAGGTAGGAAACATGTGCTTGGAGAGACGGGTAACCGATCATCTTATCCTTGGGCTGCACAACAGAAGGTAATAACAGATTCAGTACATCAAATTGTGTCCAAACATTTTCTTCAGGTTTGTAGGTATGATTTGTAGAAAGATTGAATGTATGTTTACTTTAGTGATCTGCAGTGGTCAGACCAAAATCTACAAGGTGTATGAGTGTTTATTTTTAGATATCTGCAGTGTTCAGACCAACAGTAAAATCTACAAGGTGTATGCGTGTTTATCTTTAGATATCTGCAGTGTTCAGACCAACAGTAAAACCTACAAGGCGTATGAGTGTTTATCTTTAGATATCTGCAGTGTTCAGACCAACAGTAAAACCTACAGGGCGTATTTGTGTTTATTTGTAGATATCAGCAGTGTTCAGACCAACAGTAAAATCTACAGGGCGTATTTGTGTTTATCTTAAGATATCTGCAGTGTTCAGACCAACAGTAAAATCTACAGGGCGTATCTGTGTTTACCTTTGGAGATTTGCGGTTCTCAAACAATAAGTAGAATCTGTTGGGGGTGAGTTTGTTGTCTCTCACACCCTGTCCGAGGCCTCGGTTGTCATCTTGGTTGAGGCGACGATCCAACATCACCACAATGTCACCTGAATCAAATGACATTAAACATGGTTAGAGGTCCTTGTTTGATACAAGTTATCCACGCCATTAACACTAACCATCGTTGCTTAATCCTAAACTTACCACCAACTGATGGTGGATAAGTAATTAGTTTGGTTGTATACGGCTTAACATCCTATCAACAGCTTAGGTCATTTAAGGATGTTTCTGTATGTGTCCCGGAAACAGAGTATGTTGGTGTAACTGCCTCTTTGTGATAGTGCGTTAATTGATTGATTGATTGATTGATAGGTTTTATGTCCCCTTCACTACCGAGCAATCCCGTTATCCAGCAATAGCGCGGATCTGATGCCGACTTTATAGTGTTATCTCACTGAAATACCATGTCAAAGGCACCCAGCACAGCATTCACACTATACTGACAACATGTGAACCAGTTGTTGTCATTACCCTAAATGCTGAATGTTTAAACTAGAGAAAAACCTGTTGAGAAATGAAGTCTGTATTTGGTAAAGTCATTACAATTAATCAGACAGGATGGGATGGACATGATTAACAATATTTAAGCAAATCCCCGTCTCCCCTCCCCAAAAAAAAGAAAGAAATGGAAGGGATATAAAAATGTGATTGCTGATGGGATTGTGTAAAACCTGATCAATATTAATAGATATTTTTATCAATAATATGGTAGGAATAACTAGAAAATGTCTGTAAGACATAAATGCCCACGCTCATGAATGGGACGGGACGGGATGGACATGGGCAACACTATATGACCCCACCCCCTACATTCTATGGCGGGGGCATAATTACATATCAACCAATTTTTAATATTTACTGTAAGGTAACAATGTCTTCAGAATGACTAAGTTACGACCAGTTCAGAGTGACTTTATTAAACCTAAAAGCATTAACTATCAGGCAGGAATAACAACACATCCACTGTATCAAATACTTCTAACACAAAAGGAAAATTCAATTTGATGTTTTGTTCTCACTTTTTGGTAATATTGGTTGTAATATACCTTCATAAAGACAGGCAACACCAAAATTCTGGGATAAAATAATATTTGCTTTGTAATAATAGCTCAAACTTCGAGCCTGGACACCAAAATGTTCTATTTGTAACCGATGACCAAACTGACAGAAAATATGGTGCCTTAATAAGGACGGCGAATATGAATGGCCCACACTGGTACTGTATAACATGAAATATGCGGTGTATATAAATATTCATGGTTTTCGTGGAGGCTACGGAACCCTGAAAATAAATCCAACAAATTTGATTGATATACTTGACTACTCTTTGTTTATATAGGGAATCCACGAAAGTTTGTACCACGAAATGATCTAAATGGCTTCAAGCCACAAAAGAAAATACCCACGAATTTTTCATGTTATACAGTTGTCCAAACTGACAGAAAATGTTGCCTTAATAAGGACGGCCAATGTTGATACTTAGCCTGACCGGGAACTGAAATGCTATATCTATAATAACACTAGTGCACAAAAACAATCCAGATTGACACGAAGCTGAAATGTTACCTTTGAAATGACAGGCGACACCCAGGCTCTGGGCTGATAGGACACTGAAGCGAGTCCTATCATCCTCAATGTAAGCCATGGCGGGCATCGGGTACACATTGGCCTGGAGGGGTAACTTGTCATAGGTCTTGTGTTTCAACATCTACAAAACAAAGGGAGATGATTTTCTTGTTTGTTTGTTTTTTGAAATAGATACTGGAATTACTTATATATCTATAGAAAATAGTACATAGAAATAATGCCATGGATCATTTTGAAATTTACTTCCATAAAAAAGCTGAAGTGGATATTATTACCGTAATCTTATGATAATAGCATATGAATTTGGTAAGTCCACATATTTACTCACACAAAAAGAGAAAAAAATCTTGATTTTAATACATAAATTTTGAGTATTCAAATATAGGTAGTTTGAAAAAAAACCCACATATTAACACATATCTAGAAAGTAGAAGAGAAAATAATCGTGAATATAACTTTTAATTCAGCATGGGTGCAAAATTCTCCATCCTCGATACTCCAGGGGTTATGCCCACTTTTACTCTCTGCACCCCTGGAATATGTCATAGCAAAATTGAAGGCCAGCAGATAGCTATTTCATTGGTCTCAGGTAAAAACAACTGACTAATCGCTAAGCTGATACCGGTCCTTTGAAAATTACAGAGGAGCAAAACCTGACTTCAAAACCAATAAGTTTTACCGTTATGTGACCGCAAGATTCTTTTGATGTACATCAAAGGATCAAACTAGTCTTCTCGTCTCATACACAAGGTGCTGCACACTGAGCCTTCAACTTTGCTATGACATATTCCAGGGGTGCAGAGAGTGAAAGTGAGTGTGACTCCTGAGTATTGAGGATGAAATGAGCGTAACTTATATAATATCGAGGATGAAGTGAATGTAACTCCTGGAGTATTGAGGATGTAGTGAGCGGGACCCCTGGAGTATTTAGGATGTAGTGAGCGTGACCCCTGAGTATTGAGGATGAAGTGAGCGTAACCCATATAATATTGAGGATGAAGTGAGCATGCCCCCTGGAGTATTGAGGATGTAGTGAGCATGACCCCTAGAGTATTGAGGATGTAGTGAGCGTGACCCCTGGAGTTTCGAGGATGAAGTGAGCATAACCCCTGGAGTATTGAGGATGTAATGAGCGTGCCCCCTGGAGTATCGAGGATGAAGTGAGCGTGCCCCCTTGAGTATTGAGGATGAAGTGAGCGTAACCCCTTGAGTATTGAGGATGAAGTGAGTGTGACCCCTGGAGTATTGAGGATGAATTGAGCGTGACCCCTAGAGTGGATGAAGTGAGCGTAACCCCTTGAGTATCGATGATAAAGTGAGCGTGATCCCTGGAGTATCGAGGATAAAGTGAGCGTGACCCCTGGAGTGGATGAAGTGAGTGTGACCCCTGGAGTATCAAGGATGAAGTGAGCGTGACCCCTGGAGTATCGAGGATGAAGTGAGCGTTACCCCTAGAGTATCGAGGATGAAGTGAGTGCGACCCCTGGAGTATTGAGGATGAATTGAGCGTGACCCCTAGAGTGGATGAAGTGAGCGTAACCCCTGGAGTATCGATGATAAAGTGAGCGTGATCCCTGGAGTATCGAGGATGAAGTGAGCGTGACCCCTGGAGTATTGAGGATGAAGTGAGTGTGACCCCTGGAGTATTGAGGATGAATTGAGCGTGACCCCTAGAGTGGATGAAGTGAGCGTAACCCCTGGAGTATCGATGATAAAGTGAGCGTGATCCCTGGAGTATCGAGGATGAAGTGAGCGTGACCCCTAGAGTGGATGAAGTGAGCGTAACCCCTGGAGTATCGATGATAAAGTGAGCGTGATCCCTGGAGTATCGAGGATGAAGTGAGCGTGCCCCCTTGAGTATTGAGGATGAAGTGAGTGTGACCCCTGGAGTATTGAGGATGAATTGAGCGTGACCCCTAGAGTGGATGAAGTGAGCGTAACCCCTAGAGTATCGAGGATGAAGTGAGCGTGACCCCTAGAGTATCGAGGATGAAGTGAGCGTGACCCCTGGAGTATCGAGGATGAAGTGAGCGTTACCCCTAGAGTATCGAGGATGAAGTGAGTGCGACCCCTGGAGTATTGAGGATGAATTGAGCGTGACCCCTAGAGTGGATGAAGTGAGCGTAACCCCTTGAGTATCGAGGATGAAGTGAGCGTGACCCCTAGAGTGGATGAAGTGAGCGTTACCCCTGGAGTATCGATGATAAAGTGAGCGTGATCCCTGGAGTATCGAGGATAAAGTGAGCGTGACCCCTGGAGTATCGAGCGTAACCCCTGGAGTATCGATGATAAAGTGAGCGTGATCCCTGAAGTATTGAGGATGAATTGAGCGTGAGCCGTAGAGTGGATGAAGTGAGCGTAACCCCTTGAGTATCGAGGATGAAGTGAGCGTGCCCCCTTGAGTATTGAGGATGAAGTGGGCGTTACCCCTTGAGTATTGAGGATGATGTGCGCGTTACCCCTTGAGTATCGAGGATGAAGTGAGCGTTACACCTTGAGTATTGAGGATGAAGTGAGCGTTACCCCTTGAGTATCGAGGATGAAGTGAGCGTGACCCCTAGAGTATCGAGGATGAAGTAAGCATAACCCCTGGAGTATTGAGGATGAAGTGAGTGTGACCCCTGGAGTATTGAGGATGAAGTGAGCGTGACCCCTGGAGTATCAAGGATGAAGTGAGCGTAACCCCTTGAGTATCGAGGATGAAGTGAGCGTTACCCCTTGAGTATTGTGGATGAAGTGAGTGTGACCCCTGGAGTATCGAGGATGAAGTGAGCGTGACCCCTGGAGTATTGAGGATGAATTGAGCGTGTCCCCTAGAGTGGATGAAGTGAGCGTAACCCCTAGAGTATCGAGGATGAAGTAAGCATAACCCCTGGAGTATTGAGGATGAAGAGAGTGTGACCCCTGGAGAATTGAGGATGAAGTGAGCGTGACCCCTGGAGTTGATGAAGTGAGCGTGACCCCTGGTGTATCAAGGATGAAGTGAGCGTGACCCCTAGAGTATCGAGGATGAAGTGAGTGTAACCCCTGGAGTATTGAGGATGAGGTGAGCGTAACCCCTTGAGTATTGAGGATGAAGTGAGTGTGACCCCTGCCTGATGGTGTAACCCCTGGAGTATTGAGGATAAAGTGAGCGTAACCCCTGGAGTATTGAGGAGGAGGTGAGCGTAACCCCTTGAAGATTGAGGATGAAGTGAGCATTACCCCTGAAGTATCAAGGATGAAGTCAGCGTGACCCCTGGAGTATTGAAGATGAATTGAGCGTGACCGCTAGAGTGGATGAAGTGAGTGTGACCCATGGAGTATTGAGGATGAGGGGAGCGTAACCCCTTGAGTATCGAGGATGAAGAGAGCATTACCCCTGAAGTACCAAGGATGAAGTGAGCGTGACCCCTGGAGTATCGAGGATGAAGTGAGCATTACCCCTGAAGTATCAAGGATGAAGTGAGCGTGACCCCTGGAGTTGATGAAGTGAGCGTGACCCCTGGAGTATCGATGATAAAGTGAGCGTAATCCCTGGAGTATCGATAATAAAGTGAGCGTGACCCCTGGAGTATCGAGGATGTAGTGAGCGTGACCCCTGGAGTATCGAGGATGAAGAGAGCATTACCCCTGAAGTATCAAGGATGAGGGGAGCGTGACCCCTGGAGTGGATGAAGTGAGAGTAACCCCTGGAGTATCGATAATAAAGTGAGCGTGACCCCTGGAGTGGATGAAGTGAGTGTAACCCCTGGAGTATTGAGGATGGAAGTGATGAAGTGAGCGTGACCCCTGGAATGGATGGAGTGAGCGTGACCCCTGGGGTGAATGAAGTGAGCGTGACCCCTGGAGTATTGAGGATGTAGTGAGCGTGACCCCTGGAATGGATGAAGTGAGCGTGACCCCTGGAGTATTGAGGATGTAGTGAGCGTAACCCCTGGATTATTGAGGAGAGTATCGAGGATGAAGTGAGCGCGACCCCTGGAGTATTGAGGATGAAGTATGCGTGACCCCTGGAGTATCGAGGATGTAGTGAGCGTGTCCCCTGGAATGGATGAAGTGAGCGTGCCCCCTGGAGTAGCGAGGATGAAGTGAGCGTGCCCCCTGGAGTAGCGAGGATGAAGTGAGCGTGACCCCTGGAGTATTGAGGATGCAGTGAGTGTAACCCCTGGATTATTGAGGATGTAGTGAGTGTAACCCCTGGATTATTGAGGATGTAGTGAGTGTAACCCCTGGATTATTGAGGATGTAGTGAGCGTAACCCCTGGAGTATCGAGGATGTAGTGAGTGTAACCCCTGGATTATTGAGGATGTAGTGAGTGTAACCCCTGGATTATTGAGGATGTAGTGAGTGTAACCCCTGGAGTATTGAGGATGTAGTGAGCGTGACCCCTGGAGTATTGAGGATGGAAGTTCTATTACCTGGAAACCATTGAGGTCAGTGTAGAACTCCCGGTCTGTGTTATCAACATCTGTAGCTATAGACACTGCCAGTTCAAAGTTCATCTCCTTTCTGATGTCAACAAGGTTTGACATGTCAATCACCATTCCGTCAGTACCTGTGTAACACAAAATATTTATTTACAATCAAACTTCCATAAATCAAACTTTGAAGATTCAAATTTCTCTATGTGTCGAACTTACGACAAAGTCTGATTTATTTTCTTGTATAACACTACTGATATTCCATTTATAAATCAAACTTTTATGAGTCGAATTTCTCCCTGTTTCAAACTGAAAACAAGGTCTGATTGTTAGGAAAACATTGAAACTTACACATTATAAATCGAAATGAAAAAAATACATGTACAAAAACATTGGAATTTTAACACCTGAACATGCAAATCAGAGAACACAAATACATCATACATCTATTTCTAATTACATTTTATCCAATATTTGAAGATTTCAAATTTAACTTTTTGCCTTGTGTACTCGAAGTCTTGATATTTCTAATTTTTCCCGATGGTCCCGCAAACTTCGAAACCTCAGAGTTTGACTGTATGTTGATGTATGACATTGCACAGATTTTAAATTATGAAAGGTCTTGGTGTGAGGAACCTTAAATGGTTGTGTGATAGTATAATTGTGTTTTGAAAGAATGTGGTGCGAGGAGCCTTAATGTTTGTGTGTTACCTGTTATATCAGTGTGACTGAATTCTACAAGGACAGTTACCGACCAGATATCTCAAACTTTGTGAAAAAGTGGGGTAAGCTAGAAAATGTCTGTAAGACATGAATGTGTAACGCACCAAGGTTTTGGGTTTAATTACCTGATCGGATGTCCTTAAAATTATACCGGCCGCTACCGGAAATTAACGAGTGCTTTTATGATACCTCACTTTTGGTTCCCGATTTCAGACAGGTAAGATGTTTTTTCTAGCTTAGTAATCCAATGATTTAAGTATTCTCAGTCGCCTATCCTTCCAAAATTTGGGGTTAGGAACTTTTATTGAACATCCAATGCCAGGTTTTGAGTATCTTTTTGCATTCTAGCGATAATTTAGTTGGGAACACATGTTTATTGATAGCACTTAGGTAGTGGCTGAACATTCTCCACCCTATCTGTTATGGGCATTTAGTAATGGTTTCTATGAGCTGTAGGCTCCTCTAGCTCACGTAAAGGAATGTTGCGAAAATGGGGGTTCACAAGGTAGCTACTGAGTGGAAGTGATAGCCGTATGTTTTCGACCACATGTCATCGTTATCTCGTGGAGGGCTTTATAATTCGTTCCAAAGTATCTAGCTAGGTTGTAGAGTGCATACAAATTATAGTTGGGGAAATTTGACTCTTTATTTTACTGAATTTTGGTGTAAATTCAGAAACCCACTTGCTTTGTTAAATTTGATACTGTAGACGTACAATAAACATGTAAATCTATATCTGCCCAAGTTGTTTTTGTCACCAAGCTCTGTTTCCTTTTTATTATCTCATTCTTCATTTGAAATCCATGGAATCTGCAAGTGAAAGCGGCAGTCAAACCCGAGTGTGTAGGTAACGTTCGCTACAAATGTCTCCCATGCCATGTGAAATAATGTTCAGTGTTTGATGTTCTATAAATAGTTGCTAAGTGTAAGCGGGACGGGACGGACATGGGCAACACTATATGCCCCACCCCATTTTATGGCAGGGGCATACAAGTAAATTAAAACTCACCTGGTGAGTTGTATACTCGTAGTGTGTGCTGAACATGGCGGGTATAGACGGTTACCTCAGACACAACAGATCCTCGCATCACTCTCATTACCGGGATCACGCCGTTCAGTGGCTGAAAATATAAAATTTGTATAGTTATACACAGTACAGCTGTTGTTCGGCCCACCTGTCTTAATGAAAGGCATCTTAATTGTTTTTTTTTTTACTTTACAATTTTTTAACATAAATAATCAATAAAAAAATAATTTCCACAGAAAAAGACACTGAAATCTGTGTTACTACATCAAAAGTGATAAAGAGGTGGGCAGGACAAAAGCTTCTGATAAAGCCTTGCTTTTAATTTTATTGTAAGAGGAAGTTTCATTACTATTTTTACAAGAATATGAGTTTACAGAACAAATGGAATGAATGGCAGAAACTTGTCTGCCGTTTGTAAAGACAGTACAGATGTAACACTATAAGTAAGCTACCTTCCCATGACCGTCGGGCATAAACAGGTACGCCCCACTCTTCTCCTTAGATCCACGCGTGCCGTACTTCAGGAAAGCCACTTCAGCCTCGTGAGTCTTGTCGTCAGACTTGGTCGTCACACTCTGTAAAAGTCCTAATCATTGTCATTTCCATACCAACCAGAGCACCTGTCCTACATCAGTTATATAGCCGCATACATTTAAAAAATAAACAGAATATGGAGAGAATTCAAATATCTTGTGAATTGTTATTCTGGGTGACAATGTGATCAAATATAATCAAAATATCTCTTGCTGAATATGGTGACTTGAAAATCTCGTTTTCATTTTTTATGTCATTCAACAGTCCCCTTGACGAAAATTACAGATTAAATCTTGAATTTACAATTAACCTTGAGTTAAGTACAAACTGATAAGTTTGTGTTTACAGTTTATTCTATCAAGTCCAGTTTTCATTATATATTGCAACCAACAAGTCCAGTTTTCGCTATATTTAAACAACTTCACTTTTCATGATATTCCATAGATTTCAGTTTCCACTATATCCTATGATCTTTTAGTGCATCATTCTGAAATTATTTAGCACTTATTCTATTATGCACCAATCAAAAATGGCTAAACCTTTTCACCCTTTCAGGCTGTAACTCTTAGCAACTTTTATTCTTTAATGTTCTAGTCACATGACCTTTGTACCATAGTTGCAAACATCATGTAACTGTGCTCTGAAGACGGCCTCCCTTTGGCCGAAACATGTCAGCACTTAGGATGTAAATCAAACATTACATTTTGAACTGGATTCAGTGGTGTTGTTGCTCATCATTTCTATTTTCATTTGCTCTGCTTTCCCTGATGAGCACTGTTGAATACCATTAAGGTATCCACCCCAGGATCCCTACCGCCACTATGGAACTGACTTCCTTACAGGGACGCTGGGTCTCCACCCGTCCCAGTCGTTATATATCCTATTAAGTTCAGTTTTCATTTATTAAATATTTGCAATCAAATTGGTTTTTATCACTATCTTCTAATTTAGCTCTGTTTCAATATATCCAACCAAATTTAGTTTTTACTAAATGCCATCAAGTCTTGTTTTCACTTAATTCTTATCAAGTCCAGATTTCACTCTATTCAATAAAGTCAAATTTTTCAAAATATTGACTCAAAAATACCTGTAGAAATCCAGTTTTTCCACTAATGTGAGCTTTCAAATTAGAATTTTCCAGCATAATATCTTCTGGCTTTTCCATTGTCATCGTGAAAGGGAATCTGTAGGTAAAAAAAGATAATATAACAAACAAGATCCAATTGTTCTATACCTATTGACATAGCTGTCAACCCTCCCTCACTAGGAGGGATATCTCCCTCACTAGGAGGGATATCTCCCTCATTAGGAGGGATATCTCCCTCACTGGATGTTTCAGAGGTTGACAGCTATGTATTGACCGAATAAATAACACAACACTGTAAGTTGTTTGAGATAAACTGTAACCATTAGAGATGAAGTTTGCGTAATAGTGAAACTATCGTGAAATTATTTTAACATTTGGGTACTTATAAGTTTACATAGTTTGGTGGTACATTTTGGCACTCACAGCTAGCATTCAACAATTCTAGCACTGCCCAACCAGGTTCTCATTTATAGCCGAGTAGACTGGAACAAGCAGAGTAAAGTATCTTGCTCCAAGATATAACACAGTGCCGTGCCATGAACCTGCAACCCGGCCTCCTACCACTGGACTACCGTGCCTCCTACCACTGGACTACCGTGCCTCCTAACACTGGACTACCGGCCTCCTACCTCTGGACTACCGTGCCTCCTTCCACGGGACTACCGTGCCTCCTACCACTGGACTACCACCTCCTACCACTGGACTACCGGCCTACTACCACTGGACTACCGGCCTCCTACCACTGGACTACAGGACTCCTACCACTGGACTACCGGCCTCCTACCACTGGACTACAGGACTCCTACCACTGGACTACCGGCCTCCTACCACGGGACTACCGTGCCTCCTACCACTGGACTACCACCTCCTACCACTGGACTACCGGCCTACTACCACTGGACTACCGGCCTCCTACCACGGGACTACCGTGCCTCCTACCACTGGACTACCACCTCCTACCACTGGACTACCGGCCTCCTACCACTGGACTACAGGACTCCTACCACTGGACTACCGGCCTCCTACCACTGGACTACCGACCTCCTACCACTGGACTCCCGTGCCTCCTACCACTGGACTCCCGGCCTCCTACCACTGGACTACCGACCTCCTACCACTGGACTACCGTGCCTCCTAACACTGGACTACCGGCCTCCTACCTCTGGACTACCGTGCCTCCTACCATTGGACTACCGTGCCACCTACCACTGGACTACCGGCCTCCTACCTCTGGACTACCGTGCCTCCTACCACTGGACTACCGGCCTCCTACCTCTGGACTACCGTGCCTCCTTCCACTGGACTACCGTGCCTCCTACCACTGGACTACCGTGCCTCCTTTTGCTTCAGACATTGTACCCTTTAACCCATTCACCCCTAAAGTCACATTTAAACCAAATAACAGATTATATTATTCAGACCAATGATTATTCAAATGTTTTCACAACAGATAATTGAAAATATGTCTATTTAAACTTGCATAAATTTAACCTCCTAACTATATAATACAGCTGGGGACTCACTGCACATTTGGTTGTTATAAACTTTAAATACTTTACAACACTTATGAAACAAGTTATTTCAACTTATATTAATCATTCTTCTTGGCCTGGATGTTAATTAGTTTACGAGGGTCTTTATATGGGAAAAAATGTTGGTGAAGGCGACCACCATTATTGGTGTATATTTTGTTCTGCTGCATGCAAACTAAAAATTTCAGGATCAGCAAACAGTATTGGTGCCATTTTTATCACGATAATTTTAATGAAGTGACACAAAGTCATCACCAATATGAACTATTATGTATCATGTTTATTGAGCTGTTGTTTGATAAGCCTTTCATTCAATACATAATCTCAGCTCAATTCATAATGACTGAATATGCCCATGTATGATTGAAAAACAAAGATGAAAAAGACGGGCCTTCCCATTGTTCAGCAATGATCATTGTCTTTTCAATAGAGCCACCACTGTACATAGTGTAATGCAGGACTCCCAGCACACCCTGGCTAAAAGTATTGAGAATGAATTTCGTTTGACCACCTAGTCATTTCATTGATCATGACACGGGAGGAGCGACCTTTACCGGGGATTTTGTTCTGCAGCTCCGGAGGAGCATTTGGAGAATAGAGGGTGTGAGTGCAGGAGTTCCACAGCTCACATGTGGGTAGGAAGACCTTTAAATACAGGTTTGTCATGTGATGTTGGTGAACGTACGTTTCCTTGGGGTCGGTGATGACGACATTCATCACCCCAATGGAGGCATGGGAGGTCATCTTAATGGCCTCAGGCTGAACCTTCCTCAGTGTGTATCGGGCAATCCCTAGGGCTGGCACCCGAACCACAAACCACACCTGGATAAACAATACATTAATATGTAAGGCATACACTTACATTAATGTGGAAAAGAATCAGTTCACGTAAAACACCTATAAAATAATTCAGTAAAATAAAATATCTCACTGACAACTGTTCATGCTTGCCAACTTTTAAATATTTCCACGGGGGGGGGATTACACATGGTCAGAATTAAAAGCATAAATAAAATGTGTGCCATAGAGAAAAAAACACACTTTTAAATGGCATCCTTTGAGCTGTTCTTCCAGAGATGAAATCATCAGATCTTAGAAAATAGAAATAGTTTAGCAAATTCACTGCTTGAAAATGCTCAATTTTAGGGTCCAAAATAAGGAGTCTCCCTTCAAAATAGGGAGAGTTTGCAAGTATGCAACACTGTCAGTACTAAAAAGATGAATAACTAAGGGAGATAATAAATTGACAAACAAATATGCCAGGTAGAAACTAGAACAATTGATACAAGTTTGATTTGGGAGACACTTCTATTTGTGCACTAACAAGGACTTGATTTATAAGGAAGCTGCTTCTGTAAATAACTATAACTAATGAGATATATAACCTTAATTGTTTTGGAGTACAGACACGAAGAGATCCTAGACCCTAGACCATGCACACTGTTATCATTTAATCATTGGGGACCCCTTATCTAGAACCTCTTTGGTACGATGAGACATAACAGGCCCTGGACCATGCATACTTTACACTAGATAGGACCACTCAACTTCAACTTCTTTGGTACGAGGAGATATAACAGGCCCTCGACCATTTATACTGTACACTATATATATAGGACCCCTCATCTTTAACCTATTTGGTACAATGAGACCTCATACCAGGCCCTGGACCATGTATACTGTACACTGTATAGGACCCCTCATCTTGAACTTTTTTTAGTAATAACGGACAAAACAGGCCCTGGATTATTACATTAAGAAAACCTTACCTTGAATTTCTTTGAAACCATGATAGTTGGTGACTCCCATATAGGGTCTACTTGTGCCTGCACAGTGGTGCCACCTGGTGTCTGGACCTCTATGAAAGGGGAGGTAACATACACTGCCACCACTTGCTCCCTCTCATGACCAAGCGAGTTGTAGAAGAGAACTGAGCTAAAAGGATACATGTATCAATATTGTCAGCATGAAAATCTCAAGACATTTTTTCTGTCCAAATTTCCATAATTTACACTATTTATATCATCTGAACTACCACTCACTGTTGTAAAAAGGGCTCATTAAACTCATCTTCCTGTTTTACATCTGCTTTTGCATTAGCTTGAGAGAAAAAAATAACCATTAAATGTTAAGTAAAACCAGAAAATGTCTGTATGACATGAATCTCCCTATCTTCATGCAAAGTAGTTTTATTTTTAAACAAGAGGCCCATGGGCCTTAACGGTCACCTGATATACAGAGAGTTGATTTTGTTTTTAACATGTACAGAAATATTATTCAAAGTGACAACAACAATAAAACCACCTTATTCAATATCTAGCATACAGGTTTAAGACTAAAAAGTATTTGAAACTAGCACCTCTGATTCTAAACAAGGAAAATGAAGAAATTTTAGCACACTGACTCCTTTGGGCCCCACCCTACAGCCCTTGGGGGTAGGGCTGGCTCAAAATTTTCAAAGTATCAAACTGTCAACTCAAGGTTATAATTCCAATCAAGTTATTAACATGTAATATTCAAAGTATCATTTGCCATTATAAACCATAGTAAAGTTTACCCCCTCCCCAGGGGGAAACGTGAGAACCCAGGATCAAGAAATTCACAATTTCGGTAAAGCACCTTAAGACCCTTCCATCTATGAAGAGTATTTGATTCTACCATATCTGGGTCTTGAGAAGAAGATTTTTGAAATTTCAGTCAATTCAACCCTTTTTGGCCCCACCCATCAGCCCCTGGGGGTCAGTCAGGGCTCATAGGTGCATACTATCAAACTGCTACCTAATACTGATAATGCTAACCCAAATTGAATTACTTCCAATGGAAATTAAACAAATGTTGGTCCAAAATGTGATTTCCCTATATAAACTATAGTAAAGTTTACCCCCTCCCCAGGGGAAAACGTGAGACCCCAGGGTCAAGAAATTCACATTTTGGTAAAGCACCTTAAGACCCTTCCATCTATGAAGAGTATTTGATTCTACCATATCTTGGTCTTGAGAAGAAGATTTTTGAAATTTTAGTCAATTTGACCCTTTTTGGCCCCGCCCCTCAGGCCCCTGGGGGCTTGGGACTAAACCGGCAACTCTTTTTGTTGACCTTTGTCCTTGGAAGGTTCCTCCAAAATTTCATTGGAATTGGTTCAGTGGTTTTGGAGAAGAAGTCGAAAATGTAAATTGTTTACGGACGGACGACGGACGACGGATGTCGACGGACAAAAGGCGATCGCAATAGGTCACTTGAGACTTTGTCTCAGGTGACCTAAAAAATCTAGAAATAGTCCCGTGTCACATATGTATGATGTAGTCAAATGATTTGGGCCCCGAGACAGAATGGAGCTTGTCTATTGTCACTATTCAGTACATGTTGACAAGTCTCACATATGTATGATATGTATAGTTGACCATGATTCTGCACAAGTCCGCTCTGTATGTAAGCTTACCTGGTCACCTCTGTAACATCCAGCACAGTCCTCTCAGGTAGAGAGTCGTGAGACTTTCTGTCTTCATCCTATCAAACCAGCAGAAAAAATAAACATTTACTTATGTAAGCGTAATGTATGTAACATTTGCTAATTTAAAATCTTACATATGTAACAGAGGTCACTATTTATCACTGTTACCACCCGAGGTGGAACTGGAGACCTCTGGTCTACTAGTCTGACACTCTACCAAACGAGCTAAAGAGAAGTTCTCCCTAACAGAGTCAGAAGGAAGTGGCAGGCTTTTTACCAGGGATCAGGGTAAGTGTAAGGGAGATGTAACTAATTCCTTTAGTATGTTTGGGGCACATTGTACTATCAAGCAGGGAAGGTGTCACCTAATGTTATTTTCATATATTGTCCAGGTTTCATCTGAATTTAACACAAATTTAAGCTTATTTACTGATATTTTGGTCCAAAGTGTGTGTGTGTGTGTGTGGTGTATGGGGGGGGGGGGTTGCTTACAGTTTCATGAGTCTTTGATTGAAATAGTTCTAACACAACAGACAATTGGTCTGTGACATTTGATATTGTCAATAGATGGATATCTTCATATAGACTGGCTAACTTTTATGGAAGAAGATTTTATGATGTTTTGCTGACTCCCAGCAACGACGACAAGTAAACGGTTACAACAGATGAAAAGCTAGAGTTTGTTTGTATGTTTGGAGTGTAATGTCCTCGCAACAGTCAGGGTCATATGAGGATGGGTACCTAGGGGGACACCGCCTGTAACAGAAAGTAGATAGAACAGAAGGAAGACAGGAAAGATAGGAAACAAAAAAAGATCTCAAGTGTTGCAATGGGGGTAGCAGATCAATTTGGTCTCTTCCATGTCCCCTTCGTAGAAGTCACACGAGAAAACCCCCGATTCTGCAGGGGGGCCCCACATTAGTCGCCTGTTACTATACACTAACAGTGAGATACAGCAGGTCTGTTCTTGATTTCTTCAATGTCCCCTAAATAGAAGACAAGGAAGAAATCATCCCCATTCACATTAGTTACCTCTAACGATCAGGCAGTGGGATACTGCAGCAGGCCTATTCTTTCCCGAGCCTGCATGGGTAAGCACCTGGAGAACTTTTGTAGATAAATAACCATCCCTTGTAAAAAAGTTCCGAAATGGGAAAATCTTCATAGGGAATTAATTTGACAAGATAAAGAACTTAACCTTTAGGCTTATCTTGTTTATATGGTTTGGGTGTGGGCTGGGGTGAGGTGGGCTGGGCTGGGCTGGGCTGGGCTGGGGCTGGTGGGTTTGTAATTTTACCGTACCAGGCTAAACAGAGGTTCCTTGGGGTTTGGGTGAGGTGGGCTGGGCTGGGGTTGGTGAGTTTGTAATTTTACCGTACCAGACTAATCAGAGGTTCCTTGGGGTTAGGATGAGGGTTGGGGTGAGTTGGGCTGGGCTGGGGCTGGTGGGTTTGTAATTTTACCGTACCAGGCTAAACAGAGGTTCCTTGGGGTTTGGGTGAGGTGGGTTGGGCTGGGGTTGGAGAGTTTGTAATTTTACCGTACCAGGCTAAACAGAGGTTCCTTGGGGTTTGGGTGAGGTGGGTTGGGCTGGGGTTGGAGAGTTTGTAATTTTACCGTACCAGGCTAAACAGAGGTTCCTTCAGGGTTAGGGTGTGGGCTGGGGTGAGGTGGGCTGGGCTGGGGTTGGTGAGTTTGTAATTTTACCGTACCAGGCTAAACAGAGGTTCCTAGGGGTTAGTTAGGGTGTAGCTTGGGGTGGGCTGGTCTGGGGCTGGTGAGTTTGTAATTTTACCGTACCAGACTAAACAGAGGTTCCTTGGGGTTAGGTTGTGGGTTGGGGTGAGGTGGGCTGGGCTGGGCTTGGGCTGGTGAGTTTGTAATTTTTCCATACCAGGCTAAACAGAGGTTCCTTGGGGTACTTGTAATCTTTCTTATTCTCCAGCATCAGAAAACTTGCTGCCTCCACAATGATGGTTTTACAATCCATCACACCCTTCAACATCCTGGATAACATTAAATTGACATAATCTACATTAAATTCAACTTCATACGAATATATTTACATTCAAACTTGAAACTCTGTCACTAAATATTCAGCGATATAACTTTTCAATTGACATATCAATAACTTTGATTTTAATCACTTCTGTCTACAGTTGGTGTCTGTCAATTACAACTATATATCTATAACTATAGTCTAGTTATTGATTAACTTCTCCTTGTGTTAACTACCAGTTAACAGGTGTCCTGAGGTATACATAGATAATATACTGAAACAACTGTACATCTACTACAGGGGTTTTAAGCACACAAAATGGTACTGATCATTCACTATTGGCACATTCAAATTACACGAGGCAATGTGATCCAAATGTCACAAAAATGACACAAGAACCAAGAATCTTCAAATCTAGAATTACTTAAGGATCCCTGTCCCACTGAACTGTGGTTTACTGTATCTATAGTTACCTCCCCTTAACTTCCTTAAGGATCCCTGTCCCACTGCATTGTGTTTTTTCCTATACACAGTAGCCTCCCCTTAACTTCCTTAAGGATCCCTGTCCCACTGCATTGTGGGTTTTCCTATACACAGTAGCCTCCCCTTAACTTCCTTAAGGATCCCTGTCCCACTGCATGGTGGTTTTTCCTATACACAGTAACCTCCCCTTAACTTCCTTAAGGATCCCTGTCCCACTGCACTGTGGTTTTTCCTATATACAGTAACCTCCCCTTAACTTCCTTGAGGATCCCTGTCCCACTACACTGTGGTTTTTCCTATACACAGTAACCTCCCCTTAACTTCCTTAAGGATCCCTGTCCCACTGCACTGTGTTTTTTTCGTATACACAGTAACCTCCCCTTAATTTTGTTTTAGATATAACTGTATACATACATAGCATATTTGGGCCTGGGCACTTCCGTTGACCAAGTAGCCCAGTCAGTTAGAGTGATATAGTATAACAATCTGAAGTCCAGGGTTCAAATCCTGAATATTTACACTCAGAACACTGTTGTTGATTATGTTTTATATTTCCTCTATAACATTTCTACAAAACTCTCGCAAGGTAAGCTTTTCTTTACAAAAGATGACTTATCAAAACTATAATCATGTCAGAAAAAATAATCCTGATGCCTAGTCACAACTTTTGGCAGCGATCTTTCATTTAAAATGTTGGACGGTAACACTCCTCAATTCATTTATTTTAAGCTGAAATTGAATCGAAACAAATTTAATTGTGGCATTAATATCCCGATGTGTACTGAATAGTTAGTAAAGCTTTTCGTTACATCTCTAACAGGTATCCATGAGGACCCTTACTATTACGATCCAATACTCGGCATCTTAGTCAGAGTCCAGGACTCGAACCTTTATGTCCTGAGGGTGATGATAACTTCAGGACCTAAATACTCTTATCCTAGGATCTCAACTTTTATAATGTTGTGAGGGTGATCTTTATTAACTGTATCTGTTGATGTGCATTACCTTTCCCCATAGTCTATAACAACAAAGTCCTTAGCAATTCCCGAGATGCCGTCGTGATGCTGATAGAGTCTGAGACTTACCTTTCCCCATAGTAATGTTGTGAGGGTGATCTTTATTAACTGTATCTGTTGATGTTCATTACCTTTCCCCATAGTCTATAACAACAAAGTCCTTAGCAATTCCCGAGATGCCGTCGTGATGCTGATAGAGTCTGAGACTTTCCCTTCCCCATAGTCTATAACAACAAAGTCCTTAGCAATTCCCGAGATGCCGTCGTGATGCTGATAGAGTCTGAGACTTTTCGTTCCCCATAGTCTATAACAACAAAGTCCTTAGCAGTGCCAGTGATGCAGATAGAGTCTGAGACTTACCTTTCCCCATAGTCTATAACAACAAAGTCATTAGCAGTGTCTGTGATGCCGTCGTGATGCTGATAGAGTCTGAGACTTACCTTTCCCCATAGTCTATAACAACAAAGTCCTTAGCAGTGCCAGTGATGCAGATAGAGTCTGAGACTTACCTTTCCCCATAGTCTATAACAACAAATTCATTAGCAGTGCCTGTGATGCTGATAGAGTCTGAGACTTACCGTTCCCCATAGTCTATAACAACAAAGTCATTAGCAGTGTCTGTGATGCTGTCGTGATGCTGATAGAGTCTGAGACTTACCTTTCCCCATAGTCTATAAAAACAAAGTCCTTAGCAGTGCCAGTGATGCTGATAGAGTCCGAGACTTACCTTTCCCCATAGTCTATAACAACAAAGTCCTTAGCAGTGCCAGTGATGCCGTCGTGATGCTGATAGAGTCTGAGACTTACCGTTTCCCATAGTCTATTACAACAAAGTCCTTAGCAGTGCCAGAGATGCTGATAGAGTCTGAGACTTACCTTTCCCATAGTCTATAACAACAAAGTCCTTAGCAGTGCCCGTGATGCCGTCATGATGCTGATAGAGTCCGAGACTTACCGTTCCCCATAGTCTATAACAACAAAGTCATTAGGAGTGTCTGTGATGCTGTCGTGATGCTGATAGAGTCTGAGACTTACCGTTTCCCATAGTCTATTACAACAAAGTCCTTAGCAGTGCCAGTGATGCTGGTAGAGTCTGAGACTTACCTTCCCCATAGTTAACAACAAAGTCATTAGCAGTGTCTGTGATGCTGTCGTGATGCTGATATAGTCTGAGACTTACCTTTCCCCATAGTCTATAAAAACAAAGTCCTTAGCAGTGCCAGTGATGCCGTCATGATGCTGATAGAGTCCGAGACTTACCTTTCCCCATAGTCTATAACAAAAAAGTCCTTAGCAGTGCCAGTGATGCCGTCGAGATGTTGATAGAGTCCGAGACTTACCTTTCCCCATAGTCTATAACAACAAATTCATTAGCAGTGCCTGTGATGCTGATAGAGTCTGAGACTTACCGTTCCCCATAGTCTATTACAACAAAGTCCTTAGCAGCGCCAGTAATGCTGATAGAGTCTGAGACTTACCTTTCCCATAGTCTATAACAACAAAGTCCTTAGCAGTGCCCGTGATGCTGATAGAGTCCGAGACTTACCTTTAGCCATAGTCTATAACAACAAAGTCCTTAGCAGTGCCTCTATAACAACAAAGTCATTAGCAGTGTCTGTGATGCTGTCGTGATGCTGATATAGTCTGAGACTTACCTTTCCCCATAGTCTATAACAACAAAGTCCTAAGCAGTGCCTGTGATGCCGTCGTGATGCTGATAGAGTCGGAGACTTACCTTTCCCCATAGTCTATAACAAAAAAGTCCTTAGCAGTGCCAGTGATGCCGTCGAGATGTTGATAGAGTCCGAGACTTACCTTTCCCCATAGTCTATTACAACAAAGTCCTTAGCAGCGCCAGTAATGCTGATAGAGTCTGAGACTTACCGTTCCCCATAGTCTATTACAACAAAGTGTGATGCTGATAGAGTCTGAGGCTTACCTTTCCCCATAGTCTATAACAACAAAGTCATTAGCAGTGTCTGTGATGCTGTCGTGATGCTGATATAGTCTGAGACTTACCTTTCCCCATAGTCTATAAAAACAAAGTCCTTAGCAGTGCCAGTGATGCTGATAGAGTCTGAGACTTACCTTCCCCCATAGTCTATAACAACAAAGTCCTTAGCAGTGCCCGTGATGCTGATAGAGTCCGAGACTTACCTTTCCCCATAGTCTATAACAACAAATTCATTAGCAGTGCCTGTTATGCTGATAGAGTCTGAGACTTACCGTTCCCCATAGTCTATCACAACAAAGTCCTTAGCAGTGCCCGTGATGCCGTCATGATGCTGATAGATTCTGAGACTTATCTTTCCCCATAGTCTATTACAACACAGTCCTTAGCAGTGCCAGTGATGCTGATAGAGTCTGAGACTTACCGTTCCCCATAGTCTATCACAACAAAGTCCTTAGCAGTGCCCGTGATGCTGATAGAGTCCGAGACTTACCTTTAGCCATAGTCTATAACAACAAAGTCCTTAGCAGTGCCCGTGATGCTGATAGAGTCCGAGACTTACCTTTAGCCATAGTCTATAACAACAAAGTCCTTAGCAGTGCCCGTGATGCCGTCATGATGCTGATAGTGTCTGAGACTTATCTTTCCCCATAGTCTATTACAACACAGTCCTTAGCAGTGCCAGTGATGCTGATAGAGTCTGAGACGTACCTTTCCCCATAGTCTATAACAACAAAGGCCTTAGCAGTGCCAGTGATGCTGATAGAGTCTGAGACGTACCTTTCCCCATAGTCTATAACAACAAAGGCCTTAGCAGTGCCAGTGATGCTGATAGAGTCCGAGACTTACCTTTAGCCATAGTCTATAACAACAAAGTCCTTAGCAGTGCCCGTGATGCCGTCATGATGCTGATAGAGTCTGAGACTTATCTTTCCCCATAGTCTATTACAACAAAGTCCTTAGCAGTGCCAGTGATGCCGTCGAGATGCTGATAGAGTCCGAGACTTACCTTTCCCCATAGTCGATAACAACAAAGTCCTTAGCAGTGCCAGTGATGCCGTCATGATGCTAATAGAGTCCGAGACTTACCTTTCCCCATAGTCTATTACAACACAGTCCTTAGCAGTGCCAGTGATGCTGAGAGAGTCTGAGACTTACCTTTCCCAATAGTCTATTACAACAATGTCCTTAGCAGAGTCTGAGACTTACCTTTCCCCATAGTCTATTACAACAATGTCCTTAGCAGTGCCTGTGATGCCGTCATGATGCTGATAGAGTCCGAGACTTACCTTTCCCCATAGTCTATTACAACAAAGTCCTTAGCAGTGCCAGTAATGCTGATAGAGTCTGAGACTTACCTTTCCCAATAGTCTATTACAACAATGTCCTTAGCAGAGTCTGAGACTTACCTTTCCCCATAGTCTATTACAACAATTTCCTTAGCAGTGCCTGTGATGCTGTCATGATGCTGATAGAGTCCGAGACTTACCTTACCCCATAGTCTATTACAACAAAGTCCTTAGCAGTGCCAGTAATGCTGATAGAGTCTGAGACTTCCCGTTCTCCATAGTCTGTTACAACAAAGTCCTTAGCAGTGCCAGTAATGCTGATAGAGTCTGAGACTTCCCGTTCTCCATAGTCTGTTACAACAAAGTCCTTAGCAGTGCCAGTAATGCTGATAGAGTCTGAGACTTACCTTTCCCAATAGTCTATTACAACAATGTCCTTAGCAGAGTCTGAGACTTACCTTTCCCCATAGTCTACTACAACAAAGTCCTTAGCAGTGCCCGTGATGCCGTCATGATGCTGATAGAGTCTGAGACTTACCTTCCCCATAGTCTATTACAACAAAGTCCTTAGCAGTGCCAGAGATGCTGATAGAGTCTGAGACTTACCTTTCCCAATAGTCTATTACAACAATGTCCTTAGCAGTGCCTGTGATGCCGTCATGATTCTGATAGAGTCCGAGACTTACCTTTCCCCATAGTTTATTACAACAAAGTCCTTAGCAGTGCCAGTAATGCTGATAGAGTCTGAGACTTCCCGTTCTCCATAGTCTGTTACAACAAAGTCCTTAGCAGTGCCAGTAATGCTGATAGAGTCTGAGACTTCCCGTTCTCCATAGTCTGTTACAACAAAGTCCTTAGCAGTGCCAGTAATGCGGATAGAGTCTGAGACTTACCTTTCCCCATAGTCTATTACAACAATGTCCTTAGCAGTGCCTGTGATGCTGTCATGATGCTGATAGAGTCCGAGACTTACCTTTCCCCATAGTCTATTACAACAATGTCCTTAGCAGTTCCTGTGATGCCGTCATGATGCTGATAGAGTCCGAGACTTACCTTTCCCCATAGTTTATTACAACAAAGTCCTTAGCAGTGCCAGTAATGCTGATAGAGTCTGAGACTTACCTTTCCCCATAGTCTATTACAACAATGTCCTTAGCAGAGTCTGAGACTTACCTTTCCCCATAGTCTATTACAACAATGTCCTTAGCAGTGCCTGTGATGCTGTCATGATGCTGATAGAGTCCGAGACTTACCTTACCCCATAGTCTATAACAACAAAGTCCTTAGCAGTGCCCGTGATGCTGATAGAGTCCGAGACTTACCTTACCCCATAGTCTATTACAACAAAGTCCTTAGCAGTGCCAGTAATGCTGATAGAGTCTGAGACTTCCCTTTCCCCATAGTCTATAACAACAAAGTCATTAGCAGTGCCCGTGATGCCGTCGTGATGCTGATAGAGTCCAAGATTTCTCCGAGCACCAACCAATTTCTCCATCAACTTCTGCTGAGGGAAGTTTGTTACACCTGCCTCGCGACTGTAACTAAGCGCCAATGTAAAGGCAACTTCTGCAGCTCTGAAAAACCGAAGTAAATGGTATTGAAGATATATAATGTAGAGTCCTGTGACTTCTATTTAGAGTTATTTCCCTCAACTCATTCACCCCTGAAATTTCGTAATGAACTATTCCAATCTTTGAATTGGAAGAGTTCAAATGTGTCTTCAGGGGTAAATGCACCTTCCAAAGCTGTCATCAAATCCCCTGCGCTTTTCAAACTTTTTATCAGTCCTTGTGTGCATACATTTCAAATCAACCTCAAATTCTGTGTAGTTTTGAAATGTATCACCAATTTTTGATTACATACCTTTCCAATGTGTCATCAATTTTGTGTACATCCCTTGCCAATTTGTCATCAATTTCTGTGTAGTTTTGAAATGTGCCACCACATTTTGTGTACATACCTTTCCAATTTAGTATACTTAACATAACTTTACATATAATATCATACATTTTTTCAGTGTGGAACTCTTTCGAAAAATACACAGGAAATTAGCATTACTCCTAAGTGACATCACTGGTGAAATATTTCTAACTTTTCTAGTCCATGAAACACCTTAGGATTTTTAGAAATGTTTGAAAATGAGAGACCTGTTGCCAGTGATGTTTGCATCTCTTTTCAAATCATGATTTTCAAGGGAAAGTAGCCTTATGATGGTCTCTAATTCACTTAAAGAGAATCCTTGCTAACTTACCTTACATGGTACTCCATGATCCTGTCTAGGCTTTTGTAGAACGGTCGCGATGTGTAGTAACCGCTCCAGTAATGGTCGTCACGGTCCGAGTAAGTGAAGAAGTCTCCGGCCAAGACAGGGAAGTCCGGCGGGCGAGAACCCCGCTCCACCTTCCCCAACTCATAGATCTTGTTAAAGTAATCAGACAGAGTACCAAACTGGGCCTGAAAAAAGTCAAAAGTAATAAATTCCCTGTAATTCCAAGCTAAGGATGATTAATATAATCTTTCACCCCCTTTGGGGTGAGATAGGGGAATCTCAATCCGAGGGGATAGATTCTTAAGTTGCAAACACAAAAGTTTTGCAGAGTGTTTCGCAACTTAGAAATTGTTCCCAGAGGGTTGAGATTCCCCTATCTCACCCTCAAGGGGGTGAATGAATCTTTTTCCTTACTCTGTTAATCCATTATGTATCATATACATAATGTAATGTCAACGTTACAGGCTAAATTCAGCGTTGATGATGTGACGTCAACGTATTGTTGATGTGACGTCAACGTATTGTTGATGTGACGTCAACGTATTGTTGACGTGACGTCATACCATTGTTACGAATAGGCGAATCCCCCCGTCTCAATCCTAGGGTGATACAAGGATATCTCACACCGGTAAAAGTGTCGATACACCTGTCCAGGGTAGGAGAACAGATTTTCTCCCATCATTCACAAGTGTGTCTGTCATTTTAGCCTGTAAAGATCAGCTTGTCATCCCCCAGGGGATGCTAGCTTCATAAAGAATTGCACATGCATAATTGTGACTTTATAATAAATCAAGGCATCACAAGTGATACAAATCCCCTCGCATCCACACATTGTGACATTTGTAGGAGGAAATGAAGACGCTAGAGCGATGACAAAGTTTTTGTCTACAAATAGTAACAGTGACCTCGAACTTCAACGTAGAAACCCAAAACGAAAAAAAAGTTGTTCAAGGCATTGCCATACCAAACACTTACATGAAGTTTCATGAAATTCTGTTGAGGAATGAAATCGATAGAGCGATGACAAAGTTTTTGTAATTTAGTAAAAGTGACCTTGACCTTTAACGCAGTAACCTGAAACGCCAACTTGTTCAAGGCATTGCCGTTCCAAACACTTGTATGAAGTATCATGAAATTCTGTTCAGTAATGACAAAGAGTGTAACATACATACGTACGGGCAAAATCCAATATCTCCTCAAACTTTTATTCAAGGGAATGAAAATACATCTTTTATTTGGGAACATGTTTTGGAAAAAAATCTTTAAAAAGTTTTGAAAAATCACTGTTTTGAAGTCATAAATAAGGAGTGGCAATATTCATTAACCACATGTAATAATCAAAGTTTAAAGAACAACTGGTCCCTTTTTCGAGCTATGAGTGAGTGAGTGATTTTTATTGTTTACTCGTACACCAACGTGACGAAATTGTATATTTCTTATGTCACTCGACTTGGGACGTGTCGCCTATCAAAAGAGAGCATATACACCTTGTATCAAATAGCACACTGCTCAACAAAGGGACAAGGTCGCTTGAAACATTTTGACACATTTTATATGTACATGTACATTGTTTGTGTATAAAGTAAAACTTTGATATTACATATTTCCAAACTTATGAATCTTATTGAAGGAAAATTCACCACATGTGCTTTTAGTAGTGATGGGCAATCAGTTTCAAATCTTAATCGATAATCAGTTAGTAATCCAAAGTAGTAAACAGATCGACGGTCGATTGCATAATCAGTTCATAATTTTACGGGACTGGATACCCAAATAATGTGAGAACACTTTACCATTACATCAATAGACAGAGTTATTAACTATACTCTAGGTTTTCGTTCTTGTATAATGAATGGATTGCAAGCAGTTTTTATTGAGTTTTATCAATCATATAGTAAAAATCATAAAAATGTATAACTTACAGTACATTTTTTACATTGAAAACATTTAACATTTTGATTTTAATGAAGGACCAGTTATATCAATAATCAGAATTAGAAAGGACAAAGCGATCAATTTTCGATTATAATAGATCATCAGCCCATCACTAGCTTTTAGTTACAAACATGTCACTCTTGTTGGTTGAGTTGTGACTGAAGTAACAGTAGAGAAAACAATCATCTCCTACTTTAAGGTGTAACAGAGAAATCTCCAACCCTCAGGGTGATTATTTGGTTGTCTAGCCCAAGGCATGCATAGCCTTGAGTTTAAATACCAAACAAGCCATTCAGATTGATATGTCTCGCCTGTGCCCCCCTTTTACCATCAATGCACATGTCAAGTTTGGTTGGTCTAGCACTTATAGTTTCAGAGAAACGAACTTAAATGCAAAACAATTAATGCTGACAAAGTCAATGGACAATGAAGGGTAGACCGCATCCAGCATTTGATGCATGGGTTAAGATGTACTACCTACTATATATGCATCTATGATCCAAGCTTGGTTGGTCTAGCATTTACACTTTCAGTGAAACAAACTTAAAAGGAAAACTTAATGTTGCCGCCGCCGCCGCCGGAAAAGCAACACCTTAGTCTCACTTCTGCTACTTCGTGGTGGCTTGACAAAAATATACCACCCAATGGGATGGAGGTTTCTCTGCCACACTCTCAAGGTAGAAGATTCTCTTAATCATTATTCCTAGTCATAAATAAAATTACCTGTACTCCAAGCTCTGGCGAAGAGTTCATATGATCAAACAGCTTTTGATAGTTGGTGAATTGGCGTTCACATTCGTCTTCTTTGTCGTATCGGAAGTCGTCCCCTAGTGGGATCAGAACGACGTCGGAGCGGTACAGCTCAGACTTTTTACGGTACTGGTCCACCAATGTCTTGGCCCTAAAATGTACATAACAGTAAATATTGGTCTAACATAAACTGAAACTTGATGATTTGATGAATGTTGCAATGACGAAAAACCATAAGAGTATCTCCATCATTGATCTCTTTCATGGGGCCACTGTGGCCGAGTGGTTAAGGCGTCTGACATTCTGCTACCACTAGCCCTCCACCACTGGGTCGCAGGTTTGTGGCCTATATGGGGCCGGTGCCAGATACTGGCTGCAGGTCGTTGGTTTTACTCTGGGAACTCTGGCTTTCCTCCACCACCAAAACCTGGCACATCCGTAAATGACCATAGCTGTTAATAGGACGTAAAACACAAACAAAACCAAAAAGATCTCTTTCACCCAATTGGTAATTCTCTTTCTTCTGTGTGGGTCATTCAACATCAGTACAGAAGGCAGTGACAGATTAAATATGTTATAACTACATCCTTACACGACAGCACATGTATACAACAGATATAAAACAGATTTCCCAGTCAAGCTGTGAAGGACAATTGACTGATTAATTGTTGAAATGTTCACTCCCCTTTCTCCCACCCTTTACAGGTATGTGTCCCGTTATGGCCGAGAGATATCAGCTTGTCACCCCCTAAGGGGAGATAGCCTCGTGCAGAATAGCACACACTAAATTGTGATGTCATAAAAAGAGAATGGCGATAGTGACTTCATAAAAAGATGAATGGCAAACATTCATACGCCTGATATGCTTTCGTGTACAAATATGACCACTATCGGTTGAGTTGCGAATTAAATACTAGGATGGGAGAAAAATAATCTTCCCCTGCATAGAGGGTGTAACAGTGAAATATCCAACCCTTGGGTTGATTATTTGATTGTCTAACCTCGGAAGAGCCTTAGGTAAGATAGCCAAATAAATCACCCCTCAGATTGGAGATTTCTCTATCACACCCTCAAGGTAGGGGAAGATTTTATTGTACAATTTATATATTTCTGTAGGTGACACATTCTCAAAGTTCTTGTTTTGTACCACAGGAAAACTCTGACAGTCAAATGGCATGAATATAACAAATAGTTGACGGGAAATTCTTTTAAATTTAGAGGAGAAAATAAAAGTGACTAAAACTTGGGTATCGGGAGAAATCACAAGCTAGACATCTCACACTACCTGGTGATTATACAAAAAAAAAAAAGGTGAGAACATCACACACTTAAAAAGTCTTATCCCGAGGGTTGAGATATCCCAGAGTTGAGATATCCCGAGGGTTGCTATATCCCGAGGGTTGAGATATCCCAGAGTTGAGATATCCTGAGGGTTGCTATATCCCGAGGGTTGCTATATCCCGAGGGTTGAGATATCCCAGAGTTGAGACATCCCGAGGGTTGCTATATCCCGAGGGTTGAGATATCCGAGGGTTAAGATTTCTATCTACATTACACAAGACTGATAGATTCTATTCATCTTTTCCCAAGCCAAAATTAAATTAGTAACATCACTCTAGAGTACTTCTGAAGAAAATAATTTTTCCTCTGAGAACACCATTATAGCATATTACTGTTGAAGATAGAAAAGTCTGGTGAAAACTGACCTCGCGGCTACGTTATGGTTGTGTTGTGCGAGTTGCAGAGTGCTCAACATAAAAAAATTACTGGTTTGATACAGGACTGATAGATTCTATTCATCTTTTCCCTGAATTAGGAACATAGGGAGGGGTTGTAAAGGAAAGCATGTTTTCCTCTGAGAACACAATTCTAGCATATTTGTTGAAGACAGAAGAGTGGTGAAAACCGACCTCTCGGCTACGTTGCTGCTGGTGATGGCTGTGGGAGCTATTTTCCAAGGACAGTTGTATCGGCTTGGTGACATTCTAGCAAAGTCAAACTGACAACATATCTTAGGGTCGGGCCCACACGTGTGAGGCACGTCGTACGAGTAGAACGGCATCAGGTGACACATCATGTCCGTGCTGCCCTCTTGATCTACAATATGAAAACAGAATTAATTACCTCCCTTATCGTAATCTACAGAGTTTGTGCTTTTGAGGTTAAACAAATTCAACATCCTTTAAAAGTTGTGTTTGAAAGTTTTGTATTTTTCATTCAAATAAGATATTTTGCTGCTTATTATATATATATATTTAACCTTCTAATAAAGTGCCCCCTATTTTGGAGGGAGACCCAAAAGTGTTCACCTAAATTTTTCACATTTGAAAAAGACAGCATTCTTTACATCTTCCATTTTGGGCTTAAATAAACTTATTAGATAGAATAGCTTACATTTGGGCTTCAAAAGGAGGTTAATTTTTTTTATGTATTTTAATCATTTTTGGAAATATTGTCAAATGTTGCCTCATTGTAGCTTCAGGCTTTGAATTAAATGATTTTCAATAAAACAACTTTGAGCCCACAAAGATTTCACACCTTTTTCACCTTCAGCGTAACATGATAGATGGATGTTTTATGTCTGTACATGTACAAGGCGTTGGTAAAGGGAGTTACTTTGATTTTCAAGTGGATTACTTTCATTGGCTAAGCAGTTCTAGAAATCATTTTATCAAAATACTTATAGTCAGTCGGGCTAATAGTTTTTGATTTTACTAGTCCATACACAGTTACCACCAACTCAATATTATTCAACATCATAAGTAATAAAAAATGTTGACTAGTGAATTGGACTAACAATTTTTAGTACCACTAGTCCAGCTGGAACTGAAACTTGTCTGTTGTGATCACTTTCATGCTTTCAGTCGGTACTTGAGGATTGTAAATTTTGATTTTTGTTTCGGTTATTTTGGGAACTCAATTATGAAGAACTGAAAATTGAACTGTAGTTATTCCCTGATAATTACCTAGTCACGTTAGAGGAAGTTATAATTAATACATTATATTAATTCTCATATTTTTTCCTCATATTTTCCTGTTTCTGCTTGTCTAGGTCAAAATTTAACAAGAGGCCCAATGGGCCTGCATCGCTCACCTGGTATTAATCTCACACTTGTAATCTTAAAAGTGAACTAAAATATAGCTACAGGCAGAATATCAGTGTTTGATTCATAAGAACCTATTAAAAGATTTAAACATGACTCCTGTGACCTTGAATATCGAACAAGGACATTAGGTTGAACAGAGTTTATAGTCTTCCAACCCAGCATGCTTCTGGCAAAATATCATTACCCTGGACCTTTTGGTCATACAGAACAAATCATTTAAAGATTTAAACATATATTCACCACTGTGACCTTGAATATGGGTGAAGGTCATTCACTTGGTAGTCCTTCATCCCAGCATGTTAATGGCCAAATATCATCACTCTTGGCCTTTTGCTTATTCAGAAGAAGTCATTCAATGGTTTTAAACAAATTTGACCCCTGTGACCTTGAATATATATGTCAAGGTCATTCATTTGAACAAACTTGGTAGTCCTTCATCCCAGCATGTTACTGGCATTATACTAGGCCTCTTGATTATTCAGAAGAAGTTGTTTAAAGGTTAAAAACATATTTGACCCCTGTGAGCTTGAAGAAAGATGAAGGTCATTCATTTGTACAAACTTTGTAGCCCTTCATCCCAGCATGCTACTAGCCAAATATCATCACCCTAGGCCTCTTGGTTATTCAGAAGAAGTTGTATTAAGATTTTAACATATTTGACCCCTGTGACCTTGAATATAAATCAAGGTAATTTATTTTAACAAACTTGGTAGTCCTTCATCCCAGCATGTTACTGGCATTATACTAGGCCTCTTGGTTATTCAGAAGAAGTTGTTTAAAGGTTAAAAACATATTTGACCCCTGTGAGCTTGAAAAAAGATGAAGGTCATTCATTTGTACAAACTTTGTAGCCCTTCGTCCCAGCATGCTACTAGCCAAATATCATCACCCTAGGCCTCTTGGTTATTCAGAAGAAGTTGTATTAAGATTTTAACATATTTGACCCCTGTGACCTTGAATATAAATCAAGGTAATTTATTTTAACAAACTTGGTAGCCCTATATTTCAGCATGTTACTGGCCAAATATCATAACCCTAGGCCTCTTAGTTATTCAGAAGAAGTTGTTTAAATGTTTTTAACATATTTGACCCCTGTGACCTTGAATATAAGTCGAGGTCATTTATTAGAACAAACTTTGTAGCCCTTCATCCCAGCATGCTACTAGCAAAATATCATCACCCTAGGCCTCTTGGTTATTCAGAAGAAGTTGTTTAAATGTTTTTAACATTTTTGACCCCTGTGACCTTGAATATAAGGCAAGGTCATTTATTTGAACAAACTTGGTAGCCCTTTATTTCAGCATGTTACTGGCCAAATATCATAACCCTAGGCCTCTTAGTTATTCAGAAGAAGTTGTTTAAAAGTTTTTAACATATTTGACCCCTGTGACCTTTAATATAAATCAAGGTAATTTATTTTAACAAACTTGGTAGCCCTTCATTTCAGCATGTTACTGGCCAAATATCATAACCCTAGGCCTCTTAGTTATTCAGAAGAAGTAACATTTTTGACCCCTGTGACCTTGAATATAAGGCAAGGTCATTTATTTGAACAAACTTGGTAGCCCTTCATCCCAGCATGTTACTGGCCAAATATCATCACCCTAGGCCTCTTGGTTTTTACATATTTGACCCATGTGACCTTGAAAATTGATGAAGGTCATTTATTTGAACAAACTTATTAGCCATTCATCCAAGCATGCTTCTGGCCAAATATCATCACCCTAGGCCTTTTGGTTACTGAGAAGAAGTTGTTTAAAGTAAAAAGTTGACGCTGGACGGACGACGGACGCCACACCATGCCATAAGCTCACTTGGCCCTTCGGGTATATGGTAAGTCATGTCAACAGAAGTTTACAGAGGTTTGTGGTAAGTCATGTCAACAGATGTATGCAGTGAGGTACATGGTCAGTCATGCCAACAGAAGTATGCAGTGAGGTATATGGTTAGTCATGTCAACAGCAGTTTACAGTGATGTATGTGGTATGTCATGTCGACAGAAGATTACAGTGAGGTATGTGGTAAGTCATGTCGACAGAAGATTACAGTGGGGTATATGGTAAGTCAGGTCGACAGAAGTTTACAGTGAGGTATGTGGTAAGTCATGTCGACAGAAGTATGCAGTGAGGTATATGGCTAGTCATGTCAACAGCAGTTTACAGTGATGTATTTGGTATTTCATGTCGACAGAAGATTTCAGTGAGGTATGTGGTAAGTCATGTCGACAGAAGTATGCAGTGAGGGATATGGTAAGTCATGTCAACAGAAGTATGCAGTGAGGTATATGGTACGTCATGTCGACAGAAGTTTGCAGTGTGGTACATGGTCAGTCATGCCAACAGAAGTATGCAGTGAGGGATATGGTAAGTCATGTCGACAGAAGTTTAAAGTGAGGTATATGGAAAGTCATGTCGACAGAAGTATGCAGTGAAGTATATGGTAAGTCATGTCGACAGAAGTTTAAAGTGAGGTATATGGAAAGTCATGTCGACAGAAGTATGCAGTGAAGTATATGGTAAGTCATGTCGACAGAAGTTTAAAGTGAGGGATATGGTAAGTCATGTCAACAGAAGTATGCAGTGATGTATAGGGTACTGTAAGTCATGTCAACAGAAGTTTGCAGTGAGGTACATGGTCAGTCATGCCAACAGAAGTATGCAGTGAGGTATATGGTAAGTCATGTGGACAGAAGTATGCAGTGAGGTATATGGCTAGTCATGTCAACAGCAGTTTACAGTGATGTATGTGGTATGTCATGTCGACAGAAGATTACAGTGAGGCATGTGGTGAGTCATGTCGACAGAAGTTTACAGTGAGGTATATAACAGCAGTTTACAGTGATGTATGTGGTATGTCATGTCGACAGAAGTTTACAGTGAGGGTGGAAAGTCATGTCGACAGAAGATTACAGTAAGGTATATGGTAAGTCATGTCGACAGAAGTTTAAAGTGAGGTATATGGTAAGTCATGTCAACAGAAGTATGCAGTGAGGTATATGGCTAGTCATGTCAACAGCAGTTTACAGTGATGTATGTGGTATGTCATGTCGACAGAAGATTACAGTGAGGTAGGTGGTGAGTCATGTCGACAGAAGTTTACAGTGAGGGATATAGTAAGTCATGTCAACAGAAGTTTCCAGTGAGGTATGTGGTAAGTCATGTCAACAGAAGTTTACAGAGGTTTGTGGTAAGTCATGTCAACAGATGTATGCAGTGAGGTACATGGTCAGTCATGCCAACAGAAGTATGCAGTGAGGTATATGGTACGTCATGTCGACAGAAGTTTGCAGTGAGGTACATGGTAAGTCATGTTAACAGAAGATTACAGTGAGGGTAAGGTATATGGTTAGTCATGTCGACGGAAGTTTCCAGAGAGGTATATAGTAAGTCATGTCAACAGAAGTATGCAGTGAGGTATATGGTACGTCATGTCGACTGAAGTTTGCAGTGAGGTACATGGTCAGTCATGCCAACAGAAGTATGCAGTGAGGTATATGGTACGTCATGTCGACAGAAGTTTGCAGTGTGGTACATGGTCAGTCATGCCAACAGAAGTATGCAGTGAGGTATATGGTACGTCATGTCGACAGAAGTTTGCAGTGTGGTACATGGTCAGTCATGCCAACAGAAGTATGCAGTGAGGGATATGGTAAGTCATGTCAACAGAAGTTTGCAGTGAGGTATGTGGTAAGTCATGTCGACAGAAGTTTAAAGTGAGGTATATGGAAAGTCATGTCGACAGAAGTATGCAGTGAGGGATATGGTAAGTCATGTCAACAGAAGTATGCAGTGAGGTATATGGTAAGTCATGTCAACAGAAGTTTTCAGTGAGGTACATGGTCAGTCATGCCAACAGAAGTATGCAGTGAGGTATATGGTTAGTCATGTCGACAGAAGTTTACAGTGAGGTATATAGTAAGTCATGTCAACAGAAGTTTGCAGTGAGGTATGTGGTAAGTCATGTCGACAGAAGTTTACAGTGAGGTATATGGTAAGTCATGTCGACAGAAGTTTACAGTGAGGTATATGGTAAGTCATGACGACAGAAGATTACAGTGAGGTATGTGGTAAGTCATGTCGACAGAAGTTTACAGTGAGGTACATGGTAAGTCATGTTAACAGAAGATTACAGTGAGGTATGTGGTAAGTCATGTCAACAGAAGTTTGCAGTGAGGTACATGGTAAGTCATGTTAACAGAAGATTACAGTGAGGTATGTGGTAAGTCATGTCGACAGAAGTTTACAGTGAGGTACATGGTAAGTCATGTTAACAGAAGATTACAGTGAGGTATATGGTAAGTCATGTTGACAGAAGTTTGCAGTGAGGTATATAAGTCGTGTCGGCAGAAGTTTACAGTTATTTATCACATACCTATGTAATCTTACAATAGTAATAACAACAAATTTTCTGTTGATGTTTTCTGTCGGTTTGTATCACACATGTGCGATACAAGATGTTGTATCACCATACTAGCTGGAACTACTTTTTAGGGGAATCCCCTTGTCATACATAGTGAGCTGAAAGGTTCCCGGTATTTGCAAAAAAATATGAAAGTTTATAAAATCTTTGTATCGATCTCTACCAAATATGAAAGGTATGTGATAAAAGCAAACCACACACTTGTGATTTTCTAACGAATAAGAGGGCACAAGTTTATTGCGCGGACGTATATATTCACTCGAGCGCGGATTGTGTGAGTCATGTGGACAGTATCTCACCCCAGTGTTGCCTCCACATAAACTCCAGTTGTTTGTCTTTAGCGAGTTGTTTCTTGACCGCATAGTGGACGCGCTGTATCAACATGTTGTTGAGTCCTGCCCGCTTGAGGATGTAGGCCATGGTCGGGGAGTGGCCGAAGGGGTCAATGGCCCAGCCAGACTTAGGTTCCACACCTAGGGGGGAAAAACACAGAATAGTGTAGTTTTGTAGGGATCTTACTATTTTAATTTCACAAAAGCATAACAATTCACAAACTCATTTTCATCTTAAGTGCAAACTTAAGAACCAAAAAAAATGGAAAAAGATTAAGTCAGGTTTAGGACAGGTATCAACCTAGCAATTGGTCAGGTTTTTGACCCGAGACAAATCAAATAGCTTGCCGCATTCCTTCAATTTAGCAATGACACATTCCAGGGGTGGTGAGCTGAAGTAAGCGTAACCCCTGGAGTATCGAGGATGTTATAATTCTGAACTATTTTTAGGTTTTACCTAGTATATTGTGTACCCATTGGTTGCCCTCGATCAGCTGATCCACGATGGCAGCATAGTGGGTGTTAGCTTCGTCAGTCATCACCCAGCCTCCCGTTGTTATCTCCAGCTGACCCTTGTCTACCAGCCTGAAAATCCAAACAAACACAGTCAAAACGGCAAAACATAACTGGAAAAGAGCACTAAGAGCATGATACACCCTTCAGACCCTCGGAAGAGTATGGATATATTGGAAGCAGGTAGTGACATATAACATAAATGTGTTTACTGCCACCGTTTTGTTGGTGACTTTGACCTTGCCATTCATTTACTGTGTGTATGGCGCAAGCTATGTTGTGTTTCAGAATTACACTTTCATGGTCAATGTTGCTATTACTAAAACTAGAACCTCGGTTTTGAGGTAGGAGTCTTGAACAAATAATTAAATAGTTCTTCATTTTTGACAGAATGCCCTTATTTGGTAATGAATAAGGGGCATTACTCTGCCGAATAGAGTTTAAATGTCACAATTTAAGAACTCATTCAAAGAATTCAGGTAATGAAACAACCAAGTAGTTTAATAAAAATCAGAGAACAATTGTTTGAGTTATCTTGTAAACAAGCAAAAGTTAACAACAAAAATGAAGTACAGTGTTGCTATGTCAAGTGTGATACGCCAAAACGCTGAAAGTTGAAACTCGACGAAATTTGTATTATAGCTCAGGCAAGTAGAACTTCACAAAACCTGCCTAGATGCTAGTGCTAGAAAAATGAAATTATACACCCTAGACGAGGCTTTCCTCACATGAAACAAATTGACCTGGACCTTTGACGATCATCAAGGCAAACATTAATTCGAAGTTTCATGAAAATGTGTAAAGAAATTTGGCCCCAGTTGCTATAAATACATTAACTCAGGCCCTGACTCAAACACTTTTCAACCTGAAAATATTTAGATTTCTTTCTTTCTTTCTAAGAACCCTGATGTTCATTGGTTAAAGCAAAAATAAAATGACAATCAAACACTTAAGAGAAAACAAATTTCAAATAAAACTGTATAATTTTCTAAAAGAAAAAAAGGTTTCAAGGAAACAATGTTAAAGGGCGGCAAATTATTTAATGTAATTAACAGTAACCTCTGACCTTTTGACCCGTTTTCGTGTATCCTGGCTTATGTCGCGCCACCAGGTGGAAAAGAAGGAGATCTCTGTCTCGATAAACTTCCTGCGTGGATCCTCTTCTAGTTTGTTAATCATGTTATCGAGAAGCTGTCTTACTTGGCCCTGGTAGTAATCATCAAATGTCTTTACCCAGCCTGTAACATACAGAGGATCTCACATGAATGTCCATGTCAAATTGAATTTATTAAATGAGATCATTAATTTGATATGACACGAGCCATTAGGCGAGTATTGAACAAGTTTAATAAACTCAATATGATATGAACACGAATGTAAGATTCTATTTATCATTTAACATTCATACAATGAAACTTGAAAAAAAAAATCAAACACAATTAAGTGTTATCAGCTGAATCTTTATTGGTCAAAACCAAAGTACTCCGATCATAGCATTGTCTTTCCGCACAGTGCAAAGAACATAGTGTAGTTCTAATTTTTTTTAAAGGATAAACAGTTTTATATGCTATGAAAAGTATATACATCAAAATGAAATTTTAATCTGTTTAGAATAACAGTAAATGTTTCATGTGGTATATAGTAAATACAAGTAGTATCTGTAGTGGCGTAGGAATATGTTCTCACGTTTTGGACCAATCGCTGCACCTCTAAGTTTTATTACACATGTACACAGTAATACCATACCTATAACATGGTAAGTTATGTGATATTTTTACTTAACCGGAGTTATATCACCTGATAACCTGAAAAGCTAGAAAACTAGTCCTTAAATCCACAGTATACTGTGGAGCAGCAAACTTTGGCCTGGTTAGATTTTCACCCTACGCCAATAAATCTATTTTCGTCCCGTGTTAATATTGCCCTTCACATCTGATTACTACATTTATTATATCGTGTACTACTGTTCACTGTAGTGATAAATTTGCCCTCATTGTGGAGGACTAAAAAGGCGAAAAATTCCCAGTATACAGTATATCTGAGAATGGTTGGAATTGATATTTTATTTACTGATAACACTGATTAAATCTGTCCACATCTACCACAGATGAAATCACACAATTGTGTCTCATTCACACTCCCTGTTTTCTGATTATCATAATAATATTGTGGAAGTCAGGCACCACACAAACAACTTTCTATCACCACACAAACAACAACTTTCTATCACCACACAAACAACAACTTTCTATCACCACATAAACAACTTTCTGTCACCACACAAACAACTTTCTATCACCACACAAACAACTTTCTGTCACCACACAAACAAGTTTCTGTCACCACTCAAACAACTTTCTGTAACCACACAAACAACTTTCTGTCACCACACAAACAACTTTCTATCACCACACAAACAACTTTCTGTCACCACACAAACAAATTTCTATCACCTCACAAACAACTTTCTGTCACCACACAAACAACTTTCTATCACCACACAAACAACTTTCTGTCACCACACAAACAACTTCCTGTCACCACACAAACAACTTTCTGTTATCACACAAACAACTTTCTATCACCACACAAACAACTACCTGTCACCACACAAACAACTTTCTGTCATCACACAAACAACTTTCTAGCACCACACAAACAACTTTCTGTCACCACACAGACAACTTCCTGTCACCACACAAACAACCTTCTGTCATTACACAAACAACTTTCTGTCACCACACAAACAAATTTCTGTCACCACACAAACAACTTTCTGTCAACACACAAACAACTTTCTATCACCACACAAACAACTTCCTGTCACCACACAAACAACTTTCTGTCACCACACAGACAACTTCCTGTCACCACACAAACAAACTTCTGTCATTACACAAACAACTTTCTGTCACCACACAAACAACCTCCTGTCATCACACAAACAACTTCCTGTCATCACACAAACAAACAACTTCCTGTCATCACACAAACAACTTCCTGTCATCACACAAACAACTTCCTGTTATCACACAAACAACATCCTATGATCCTGTCACCACACAAACAACTTTCTATCACCACACAAACAAATTCCTGTTGCTACGCTAACAATTTTCTGTTGTCACACTTACAACTACCAGTCACCACACAAACATCATTCCTGTCATCACAAATACAACTTCCTGTCATCACGCAAACAACTTCCTGTCACCACACATACAACTTCCTGTCATCACACATACAACTTCCTGTCACCACACTAACAACTTCCTGTCACCATGCAAACAACTTCCTGTCACCATACAAACAACTTCCTGTCACCACACAAACAACTTTCTGTCACCACAGAAACAAGTTGCTGTCACCACACAAACAACTTTCTGTCACCACACAGACAACTTCCTGTCATCACACAAACAACTTTCTGTCATCACACAAACAACTTTCTATCACCACACAAACAACTTTCTATCACCACACAAACAACTACAAACAACTTTCTATCACCACACAAACAACTTCCTGTCACCACACAAACAACTTCCTGTCATCACATAAACAACTTCCTGTCACCACACAAACAACTTCCTGTTATCACACAAACAACTTTCCTTTCACCAAACAAACAACTTCCTGTCATCACACAAACAACTTCCTGTCACCACACAAACAACTTCCTGTCATCACACAAACAACTTTCTGTCACCACACAAACAACTTCCTGTTATCACACGAACATCTTCCTGTCACCACACAGACAACATCCTGTCACCACACAAACAACTTTCTGTCACCACTCAAACAACTTCCTGTCACCTTGCAAACAACTTCCTGTCGCCATACAAACAACTTCCTGTCACCACACAAACAACTTTCTATTGTCACACTTACCTGGATCATTGTGAGAGTGAGGAACCACAAACACATATAACTTCTTTTCTCCGCCCCATTTGTTCGTTGGGTAGGTGATGGGCCAGCCTTGTTTCCAAACACCGCCGTCGGGATTATCAAATGGCAACAGATCCATCAGCCGTAACGTCTGTGGAAATTAATAATCACATGTTGTAAAACCATAAGTTGTATCTTTACAATACTGTATAAGATGAAAATTGATTATAGTAATTTTACAATACCATACATAACCTTAAATGGTCTACTGTTGTTGAATAATAAAATATAACAAGAAACAATCTTTGCTAACTTTAACTTTACAATACTCGCCTTTACATCCGAGTCCACATTAGGTTCGTCTGCCAGACTGCACATCTCTCCAGCCACAGTTACCTCCCCTCGCAGTGCCTGATAAACGGTTTCTTTCTTAGAGCCGTCACCAATCAAACCATGCAGCCAACCTTTGTCTGCATTCACTGGTTTTGGTAAGTCCACAGCTTTCACGTCCACGTCTGCCTCAGATAGAACTTTCTGTAGTTTTTCTAGGGTGTCTTTGTCGCCACCTTTAGAGAGCTGTCCGACTAGGTCCTTGATTTCTTTTATTGTATTCTGATTACGTTGAATCTGTGTCTGGATTCGCTGGATTTTGGAATCAACTTCTTGCTGTGGAAAAAGCATCAAAACATTAAGGTAATTTTTGTTATACATGTATCTATATACCAGAAGTGGATATGAGGGGG